TATGTCTTTTGTATTCCAGCCACTGTTCAACTAGATACAACTGCTGAAAATCCGGGAATACAAGCATGCACACTACAGGATAAATACAGTGCTTAAATTTTACATCATACGTAAATACAGTACTTAAATTTTATAGAAAAAATGAAATCTGAAGATAGAGTAAGATCATGTACTCTATCTTTATGTTGAACGCAACAATTCTGAAGAACCAAGCTCTGGTAAAACCGCAGGGCACAGCTTGATTACAAAAAGAATTTTAAGGAAATTGTATTAATACAGTCATGATAATACCTACAAGTTTTTTTTATATGTTAATTACTGAGTTCTATTTACATATCTGAAAATGCAGTTTTGGTACTTGTCAGAATCGAGGGGACAACTCCTAGACAACTTTCCTCTATTTCTCATAGTTTCAGTCTTCGCCCGTAACAAAATCTTTATAATTGTTATTTATCATATTTGATCATGTACAAGTATATGGCAAATATAAATTGTTGTAAAGTACTAGACACCATGTTTGAACAATCCTTTTAATATAATAATAATACTGTCTAACTTAGCATGTTTTCTAATAGCTTAATTTTATTTGCAGGTCCAAACACTACTAAAAAAGTAGTGAATCATATAAAAATGACAAAAAAGGAGCATGATTTATACCAAAAATTGGTAAAAATAAGAATTAAACTATCAAAATGCCGGAACAGAGCACAGAAGCAATCTTTACAATTAAAAGCAGCCAAAAATTTTATGAAGAGTAGCAACTTTATAGCTACTGTTAACAATTTGCCAAGTGCTGCTAAAGTCTTAACTATGTTACAGTTCAGAGAACATAAAAAGAAAGAAAAAGGGAGAAGATTTTCTACTGAAGAAAAAATATTAGCTTTGGCAATGCTAAAGCAAAACCCCAAAGGCTATCGTTTTCTACGAAGACTGTTAGTTTTGCCTTCTCAACAAATACTGGCAACATTTTTGAACCAGGCCAATATAAAGCCTGGTATTAACAATAATGTCTTTGCTCAACTTAAAGAAAGAGCAAGTAAAATGAAGCCAGCAGACAAACTCTATATATTAATGTTTGACGAAATGTCGCTAAAAGCTAACATTAGTTACACTGAAAGAAAAGATTTGGTGATAGGTTTTGTCAATAATGGACGTGAGACAAAACCCGAATTTGCAGACCATGCTCTGGTTTTTATGATCAGGGGTCTCATAAGGAAATATAAACAACCTGTTGCTTATACATTTACACAGGCAAAACTATAATTGAAAACTTGCAAGAAACTGGCTTCAATGTAGTGGCTACAGTATGTGACCAAGGCACTAATAATAGAAATGCCTTAAATCTTCTCCTAAATGAAACCAGGGGACATATGCTGAGAAGTGGGCAAGAAGTCAGAGAAGACACGAAAGTAATAATAATTAATGACAAGAAAATTGTTCCACTATATGATCCACCACATTTGTTAAAAGGTATACGAAATAATCGTTTAGAGAAGAATTTACGGTATACAACTGACAGTAAAGAAAAGACTGCTAAGTGGGATCACATTAAACAATTACATGAAGAAAATCCTGCATATAAAGGAATCCGATTAGTACCTAAGTTGTCTGACAGTCATGTTGATCCAACGAGAACAAAAATGAAAGTGAAATTTGCCAGCCAAGTGTTCAGTAGAACTGTGTCTTCCACTATGGGATACCTTGCAGGTAAGATCAGGAATTTGATGTTTTTGTGTTAAGTATCAGCTATATAGCTTAGCAATATTACGTTGTCTTCAAATGATATGGCTTACTCATATCATAATGATCTATTAATTGTAGAAGGATCTAAATCTAAATGATAATTTTCTGTACATATTTTTCCAACCACGGATTTTAAATAATTCAATTCTAATACAAAATTATTCATAATATGTATTAGAATCACCTGACTTCATTTACTCAGTAATTTAAAATGTAAATTGGAACACCATCTATGCAAGCGTGTATTCCAAAGCATAGCTACATGTACAATTTCATACATATAAAGTGTATATTATGTGTACAGAAATCTTAATCTAACATAATCTAACATTGAATTATTAATGTTTTACAGATAAGGGAATCCTCCCAGCGGAATGCAAGGAGACTGCAGATGTCCTGCTTTTCTTTGACAATCTTTTCGATTCTGTCAATGGCAGCTTTACAAAAACAGGTTTTCAAAACCTCTCCTGGGACCTGTAACAAAAGTTCAAAACACCATGAATTTTGGACGGACCAAAAAAAGTTTTAAAATCCATGAAATTTATCACAGAAAAAACACAATTGCAAGTGTACCTACTATTAATAATTGGGTATGGACACTGGAAGGGATAGAAACATTAGTTAAAATATTAGCTATTGATCACAACATTACGTCTTTATGGATGCGGCACCTAAACCAAGACCCAATCGAGAACTTCTTTGGGCCATAAGAAGCCATGGGTGCCGTAACACAAATCCAACGCCAGAAAGATTTGAATAATCGTTAACAACCTTATTGATCAATAGCCTGTCCAGTGTCCATGCCCTGGAGCAAATTGTGAAGAAGATGCAATGCAATGCACTGCATGCCCTCATTGTTACAAAAAATAGAGAAGCTGCGACGTCTGGTGACATATCTTTAGATATTGTGAATGAGATTACCCTTACACCTTTAGAGGAAAATAGTCAGCTCCAAATAATGGGCCCCTACAATATGTTTCGGGATATTTAAAAAAAAAACGAAAAATAAAATATTTAGGTCCTGCGAAGTTTGTAAGGGTAATCTCTATAGCGAAATTGAAAATGATTTTATTAGAAGAAGAGAATTTGCCAATCGTCGTTGGCTTTCCAGCCCTAGCCAAGATTTTTTAACATACATATCTAACATGCAGGATATTATAAATAAAATATTAAGTAATAATTTAAATCAAAAAGCCCTCAGAGAATACATAAAAACAATTATTCTTTTATTTTTAGATTTTAATTTTAACATGTTCTGTACATAAAGATAAATTAATAGAATATTTAATTTAATTAATTTTGTATGTCGATTTTTTATGTTTACGTATTGTAAAAATATAAATAAAATATTATCTGGCAAAAAAGATATTGACAGTGACGAGGATGTAATGCAGTGTAAAGTATGGCAAAAAAGTATTTTGAAAAATGTTTTAAGAGAAAAATTTGACATGTTATTATTGCATTGAGCCAACAATGCATTATTAAAAACTTTTGTTAAATCCAAATGTGCATGCCTTAAGCGCTCATATTATAACGTCAATTTTTTAAAGTATTTTAAATACAATTTTTTTTAAAATACTTTAAAAAATTGTCATTTCGCAAATAACCTTATTACTATTCTTCTAATTTTCCTTTGAAAACACTTAACAGAATTATTTTAAAACGATCAGAAATCAACTTTAATTAATATTACTTTAATTTTTAGGTATTTGTACTCAGACATGAAGGCATTGACGACTCCATGGCGCATGAGCTATAGCTCATTGCTAAGCTACTGCGCTGATAAGCGCTATAGCGCTGAGGGCCGCGGGTTCGAATCCCGCACGGAACAAGTATTTGTATGCCCTACAAGTAATTGACTGCCTCTACGATACGGGATAAAATAATTATAACTAAAGAAAACAAAATTAAACCGCTTTTTCAACAAAACAAGATTTAGCAATTCATCTATCTTGTGGGAAGCCATGGATTGCATTCCATGGCTTCCCACAAGATAGATGAAGAGATAAGAAAATAGATTAAGTAATTTTTGTAACTTTTGAAATTATCAATTATCCAAATTGATATTCTCAAAAGTTACCGTGTACCCCGTCTTGCTGACTTGATAAAGCGACACCACAAGTAACTAAAACCACTTTTTTAGTGTAAAAATAGCAATTAAATGATTTAAAAAAATATAAGTTCAGCAATAATTAATCTTTCTAATAATGAGCTTTTTATACCTTTTAAATGTTCAATATGCTTGTTAGATACGATTTCATGTGACAAAACGTTGAATTCTTGATTTTAGACCCTAGTAGAACATACCCACGCGCTTTGAGCTTAAGGAATGCAATAATATCAAATACTGGTTATGTATTAGAAAATATAACTATAATATATAAATATTATATTATGACCTACTATGACAACTATTATGCCAATACAAAATAAAAAGATTATAATAATATGTGTTTTATTTTCTGCAGCCTTAAGTAATCCCTTAATTTATTCATATACGTTAGTCTATACATCTATATATATGCAAATAGCTATACGTATATTTAGATAGACATATAGCTATCTACATAATTCGCACTCTTAGTCACAGAACACTAATACCCTTGCTCTTAGTGCAACAGTGACCGAATTCAAAATTTGACAGTTTTTAGTTATGGTCAAAAACTGACCTTGTAAACGGAGCTCTACAATGTGACATTTAAAAAACATCTCTATTTCTGCGGATTTAAGAGATAACTTTTTTTTGTGCCGTTGTTTCACTACGGTCCTCGCTTCCCCTCTTGGATGCAACACCGACGCATACATTGTTGCGTCCGCAGTCGTACGAGGAGGTTGTGTCTAACGTTGGCTTATTTTGAGATACGTCGTTGTTGCACAAAAATCGAGGTGAGTATCATTTAAAGATTTTTTCAGAATATTGACTGATTTCAAGACAGGTCGTTATTGTACAAAACATTCAATAGAAATATTGACCTATTTCGTTTTTGGACAGTATAAAATTAAAATGTTGAATAATTTTATGACACGATTAGAATTAAGTCATTGTTGTTTTAAAAACATGCGAGATTTTTTATCTTATATAATAATAAGTCACTATTTGTTAAATTTACTACAAAATTAAATGACTTATATAAAGTAATGTCAGTTTAGGATTAAAAATGTTTAAAAAAAATTAGGTTTTGTATGTTAATAAGTTATGTAAAAAAGGTACTTCATAGCTTATTGTACGTTTTTATTATTACAGATAAGAAACCAACATGGAAAAACGGAGAATGAAAGAAATATTTAAGAATCTTTCCTCTAAGGAAAGTTTAAATGAAAAATTGGTAAGTAAATTGGGTTTTTTACATGTAGGATCTTGGGGTGGCGGTGGATAAAGGCAGTGTATCCCTTTTACACTTCCTTTATTCTTCTTTTATTATTATTTTAATTGTATTGATATTAAAACATCCTTTTAGATATGAAATTGTTTTCTTCGTGACGCTATAGTATTTTTTTTCATTCAAAGGGCATCATACAAGATGGAATAAATAGAAAAGTAAGACGCCGATTCAGCGATGATAAGTTGGCGTCAGTCAGACGTCGGCTGCAGTTCAACAATAATCCACTGTCGGCGGTACCACAAGAGACAACTTCTGAAAAATACCTTATTGAAAACAACAACAATAATATTCAGTAGGAAAATGACGTTGGTGACCACAATAACTATTCTTCGGTTATAATTTGTTCTAAAGACGAAAATTTATATAAACAGCAGCAATATAACATTTATACACAAGAAGACTTCACTTTATGTTCTTTTCCAATTATTTAATCTAGGGATAAATCTTTGCGAAAATCGCGTTCATGTAAGAAAAATTATGTAATTTCGCCAATTAACTCTGGTGAAAGTGACGCCGATCTAAGCGACTCGGACCCAACTTACACAACATGTGATCTGGAGGAAATAAAACGGAGCAAAACAGATCTTTTATTTAACAAAAATGACATTAACATGTCTAAGTGAAGTTCAAGTTCTCAGTCGAGTCCAATACTTCAGCCGGGTCCAAATTTTCAATCGCATCAAAGGCCTCGGCCGGGTCAAAGTTTCCAGCCGTGTCCAAGTCCTCAGCCGTGTCCAAGTCCTCAGTCGGGTCCAAGTTCTCAATGCATTCGAAGTCCTCAACCGGGTCCAAGTTTTCAGTCGTGTTCAAGTCCTCAACCAGGTCCAAATTCTCAAATATTTTCTAAACAAGCCAATAAAAATAAAATAAAAAGGGAGATCCTCAGTTTTGGAAAAGCAATTTGGCGAAAAAACAAAGAAATACCGGCCATGCTTATATTTCTGTTACATCTAAAAAAGAAATTCAAGCTCGTACTATAAAACCACCGTGCAATGAAAAATGCAGATTAAAATGTTCAATGTCTATTTCTGAACAAGAACGAAAACACATATTTAACAAATTTTGGAGTTTGGGTGATCTACATCAACAAAGAATGTATTTAAAGAGCTGTATGATAGAAGTTCATCCTAAATATAAATACAACTTAACAGAAAATCCAAGGAAGCCAAATTTTGCTTTTTATATAAAATTGCAGAATGACAATAAGAAAAAAGTTTGCAAAACTTTTTTTATTAATACCTTTGGCGTTACTGATAGAATGCTTCGTACTATAAAAGATAAAAGTGACCCTAATGATTTTTTGATTGAAGATAAACGCGGAAAACATGGAAAACAAAATAAACTTAATTTGAATTTAAAACAAGATATAATTAATTTTATTGACAATATTCTCCGTTTGGAATCTCATTTTACTAGAGCCACGTGATCTTGTGAGTATATAAATTCGAACAAAACCATAACAGACATTTATCAAGACTTTGTTGAGGCTCAAGAAGCTAACGGCAAACCATACGGAAAATTTTGCAATTTTTATCAATTATTTAAAGAATCTGGCTTGAAAATGGAGCAACCGAAAAAAGATCTTTGTGTCATTTGCAGCAACTATAGATTAAACCCTGACCTGAACCTAAAAGAAGAATACGAAATGAATTTGGAAGAAAAAGATTTGTCAAGACAGGAAAAACAAAAAGACAGATACGCTATTAATAACACAAACATATGTGCCATTTACGATTTACAAGCTATTTTACAGGTGCCACACGGTAACTGCAGCAGTTTTTATTATTCAACTAGATTAAATTGTTATAATTTCACAATTGCTGAGCTAGAAAAAAAAAACTTAGTTGAGGAAGACAGTAATAGGGCATATACAGACTTACAATGCTATTTTTGGGATGAGACCGAAGGACAAAAAGGTTCTGTCGAAATTGGTACTTGTGTTTTTAAATTCTTAAATGTAATTAATGAGAGGAATACGAGTAAATCCGTCAATGTTATATTTTATTCCGACAATTGGTGTGGCCAAAACAAAAGTAAATTCATTGCTACATTGTATATGTATGCCTTGGCTAACTTTGAAAACATTGAGACAATAACTCATAAATTTCTCATAAAAGGACACACACAAAATGAAAACGATAATGTACACAGCCTGATAGAAAAAGAAAAGAAAAAATACTTGAGAGCTGACAATATTTACATTCCTCAACAGTACGTTACGCTTATTCAAAATGCGAAAAAAAAAGGAAGTAAATTTAAAGTTCACACATTGACCTATGATGATTTCATCGACTTAAAATCTCTACAAAATCAATGGGATGTCAACTATAATAAAAATTCTGAAAAGAGTCAAGTATGTTGGAACGATATAAAAATAATTCGATTTCAAAAAAGATAAATCTTTACATTTTTACTACAAAACTTCATATAAAGATAAAGAATACAAAGAGGTTAACGTAAGATATAATGTGCGTAAAAGCTTGCCATCAATTGAAAATTTAGTCCTTGAGAAGGCTTATAGTAAAAAGTTTGAGTTTGATGACAGAAAGAAAAAAGACTTTCAAACTCTTATTTCAAAAAAGTTTGTGCCGCCGTATTTTTCCAAATATTATACAGATTTATTTTAAAAATGTTATTTGTCATAACTTTATTTAATTATAAAAATACAGAGTACTTATTAGACGTAGTTTTCCTAAAACACATACCTATGGACTCAAGCCAATATTTCCAAAAAACTTTTCTTGGGAATTTAAGTTCATTCCCGAGAAGTTTTGTTGGAAAAGTTTCTCAAAACGCTGGTCCAAGTCCATGGTTTTAGTTTTCGGAAAGCTGTCACTTTACATGCTAAATAATTTTTTATCTTTTTTTCTCAAATTTGTGCCTTAACGAAACTATTTTGTGATGTAGGTTAAGTTCTCTAAGATTATTTGTTTTTGATACATCCAAAAGCAACTATTTTGTATTTTAGATTGTTTTGTTTTTATTACAATTTACATACATTGCGTACTTTATTAGAAAGTAACTGCTACACAACTAAATATTACGGATAAATCTTATAAATAATTAAGTAAAATGTATGTTTTTGTTTAAGGTCTCTTATTAAGTATTTCTGATAAAGTTCTCATTCCTGATCTCATATATTTATAATTTAATTTGTAATATAATGGATAGGATAGGTTTTTGATACTCATTTCGTTACACAGTTGTACATTTTTTGAAATAACTATAAAGCCTTAGTTATATAAGTATTAATGTCTTAATTAACTTTTTTGTGTTATGGGCAGTAAGTCCCTTCAATGTTTAATAACTGAGCATTTATTAAAAAAATAATTAAAAATATATAAAACATGCAAGAGTATTTCATTCCTACCTTAAATTATTAACAGGTAAATCATAATATGAATGTAATAATTTAATAGTATACAGACGTAAGTTTTAATGAGTCGATTTTACAACCGCATATTTTAATACAGTAAAAACTTATTTCTCATTAGGTCAATCTTAGCGTAGAAAAATTAATACAATACTGACTTATTTTGAATTCGGTCATTATTAAGTGTGATTGTTTTGTTTAACAACGACTTATCTTTGAAAGACTGTTTTCAAACTTAATTTACAGAATAACTGATTATTAAAAACAAAAACTTTTTATGTCATAGTAAAGAACACATTTCAAAGATTTTAACAATAGAACTCCGGTTAACGAGCTACTAGAAATATTCATTTTATAGTTAATTGAAAAAAAAAAATATTTGAAATGCAATTACATTTTCGTTGATTCCCAAAAGTAGCCAATTTTGAGTTCGGTCACTATTGTATTAAGAGTGCGAATTATATATATATATATATATATAGCAGGAGAGTTGTAGGTTTGTAGTTACAGATGGCGTCACCAATCTCTTTCCTTCTGAACCCATTGAGTAAAGCCTCTATTCCTATATATATAAAAAGTACTCTGGAATTCTCTTATAAACCTTTGCTCTTCTGCCAGAGACTGCAGCATTTTTATGTAGATCTCAAAGTGACAGGCAATCGCGCGAGCTACTCAGGCACAAATGCGACTCACGGTTGGTTGTGTCAACCCATGTAGGTCTCCTCCCATCATCTTGAACCTAAAACGGATATCAAGGGTACAAAAACGTTTATATGGTACACTCATATATGGTATTATTACTTGTATGCTACGAGTTGAGACTTACCTCATGAGGTCCCCAACATCTAATGGCGGTTAACACCTGCAATTCTGGTGATGTACCACAACCCCTTGGGTCCAGTTGTAAATCCTGCCTGACAAGATCAATTATAAAAGATACCGTATGTTTATTGAAGCGGTATCGCTTTTTGAACTCTATATCGGGCAAAAAAATCGTATCATATCTCTTCTGGTAAACCTTACGACGACGATGCGGAGCGTTTCCTACTTGCTCCACAGCTTTTAAAGTTTGCAGAGCTTGCATAACGACACTTTCAGAATCCACAAAAAACAAATTTACCAACAATAACCTATACGACTTAAATAATCAGCTGTCCGTTCCTCGCACGCAAATCGGCCACATTTTTCTTTATTACAGGCTCAAATGAAGGAAAAAAACTTTTTTTACTTCATCTGAGATTACAGGTTTTATAGTAGGATGGACCCTTCTTTAACTTATCAAGCCGTTATAGATCAGTAATAAACGTGTCAAAGCGTTGCCACTGCACATATGGCCACAGCCATATGCCTAGCTGACGTCAGCTCAGTGTTCAATGTGACGCTGACAGAGTTGAGCCGCGACAAAAAATGGGTAAATGTGTAGTGAAAGAATGCTATTCAAGGTCACAAAAACGTAAAAAATCAAGCGGAATCACTTTCAACACATAATTTTTAATTTTTGTTTTCATATAAACGTAAAAACCTCAAATAATTAAATAAAATTATCGAATATTACCATTTAGGTTCAATGTTGCCACTTTTCCGCATTTGTGACTATCCTACATTAATGGGAGACTATATAATTAATGGAGTAAGTTAATTCGTTACCTCTGATTTTAAATATTTTGGAAATTATAATAAAAACTACGTTTTAACTTTCATACAAAATTATTAATTATTCTTATTTTAGTTTATTCATGAATTATCTATTAAATATATTTTATTACCTATTTTATATTAATACTTTTATATTAATTACTCATTAAAATTTTATATTAATTATATTTTATATTTTTTGATTTATTAGTACAATAAAAATACTTATAAAAATATGTTTTATTTCATCATTATATTTACTTCTATTCATCTGATAAGCTTTGTATCCTTTTTTTTTCTAAGGGGACGTAATAAAGATTTAAAAAAATTTACTTTTTTAATACAAAAAGAATTAACTGCAGCTTAAAAAAACTAATTTTATTGCGTATTTTAGGTAAAATTACATATAGTAAGCCACACCAACCCGACGTTGCATAATGATTTCTTATATTTACGCGAACACTACATATTGAAATAATGCTAGTTTTTACGGAATTTATCGTGTATATTTAACTTTTTAAATACCCGACGAAAATACTCTCACTGCTCAAGGGACATACAAGAGCACGATTAAAGACCTACATCTGGCAGACAATGAAACTATGGTCAGTTTTGATGTGCAGTCATTGTTTACATGCTTACCTGTTGAAGACTGCATCTCAATTATAACTAGAAGGCTGGAAGAAAACAACATGCCCGTAGAATATGCAGTATTACTCAGACACTGCCTTACATCTGGCTACCTATTGTGGAGTTCTTCAAGCAAGTAGATGGTGTGGCGATGGGCTCACCTGTATCTCCCATTGTCGCTGACATATTCATGGAAGACTTTGAGGAGAAAGCCCTGCTTAGTTCTCCCATAAATCCAAGATTCTACAAGCGGTACGTAGACGACACTTTCACAATTCTACCTTTAGATAAACTAACTGCATTTTTAGACCATCTTAACTTTATAAATTCTAAAATTCAGTTCACAATGGAGTTAGAGGCAAACAATTCCTTAGCTTTTCTAGATGTGTTAGTAATTCGGAATCCTGATAACACCTTAAGCCATACTGTGTATAGAAAAAAGACCCATACAGATAGATATTTAAACGGTGATCCTCACCACTATCCTTCACTGTTAGCTACCGTGGGTAAATCTTTGTTTCAGAGAGCACGAGGGATCTGTGACAGTAAACACCTGGCTGCCGAGCTCCACCATGTCAAGCAAGTTTTGCATGACAACAAGCTTCGAGTCCCGCGCCTACGTCATAGTGAACGAGTGAAGGCGGCCACAGTCGAGCGTGTACCCCCTGTACTGCCATATGTTAGAGGAGTCACTGACAAGATTGGCTACAACTTGAAGCGTACTTCCATCAAAACATACTTCAAGCCGCTGAAGAAGATTGGTCAGTTTTTACCATCAGTCAAGTGTAATGTCTCCCTGCAAGATGCAGGAGTGTACAAGCTTGATTGTGAATGTGGTCTCTCCTACATAGGACAAACTAAAAGATCAATAAAAACCCGCTTTAAATAACATATAGCTGATGTGAAGAATCGACGCTCCGGGAAGTCTGCAGTCTGTGAACACGTACAGGATCGCCCCCGTCATTAAATCAGATTTGATAGACCGCAAATCCTCGCTAAAGAATTCCTTCCAAGGATGATTCGCGAGGCTATTGAAATCAAAAAATATCCTAATTTCAATAGAGAAGATGGCTGGGTGCTACCATCTGCTTGGGATCCTATAATAAATAAAATTAAATCCCAACCCAAGCATACAACTGCAAGACTTCAAGATACCATAAGTTCATACTGTATAGATCGGAACAAAAGTTAAATTTAATCTATGGTAACCGCGGTTAACTATGACATATGGACGTTGAACATCTCAGTCCCGCCCGTGACCATGAGTGCTGTAAAGCGTTCGAAACGTCGGGTATTTAAAAAGTTAAATATACGCGATAAATTCCGTAAAAACTAGTATTATTTCAATCCGCCGTTGCATGTTTGTGTGTCTATCTTTATCTAATCATAGCGACCATATTGTTTTCGCAACTTGTGTAAGTGAGATAGATATAATATGTTTATTTAAAATTGTTATTAGTTTCAAAGCTACGTCGTCGCGTTTGGATAGTGGTTACACTTTTTTCGACGCGCGGTAATGTGGTTTGCTCCTCTAGTGTTGTATAACTCAATGGTTTTAGCGTTATTAAACGTTTATGAATACTGTTTTACCTCCATATAACAAGCTAATAAACCTATTTTAACTTTTTATGAATAAGACTGTAAATATGTATCTATCGAGATCTGGAAGATATTGCGTTTCTAAGTTTTTATATAATTTCTATGGGAATAGGGTTGTCACAAAGTTTAAATTTTTAAGTTGATTATTTTAATCGATTAAATCAATTATGCTAGCAAATACTAAACGCTTATGATATATCAACGCTATCAGATTGAATTACCATTTCGTCAGTCATCAGCGTGATATCATTTGCTTCAAGCCTTTCTGATTCTAATTGGCTGTAGTGAACATTGTCTGTTGTTACACTTAAGAGTTTGAAGCACTGATTTCGGTAAGGGCAAAGGTTTTTTAGGTGTAGTAATTATTAAAAAGGATATCTAAGGATCGGATGATTCTAATGCACGGTGAAATAAGTCTGAAATTGTGGTTTTTCTGCCCAATTTCTAGGTATGGTGTTGTCGATCATAGCGCCAGTATATGTTTCTTGACTCGCCTGCTTGCTCGGATAACATACCTATGGGTAACGTGCTGGCGTTTATGATTTGCCGGCCATGCATTCATATTTTGTGCATAGTGACGGACATACAAGTACGAGTATAAATAAAACCAATTGTATTTTACTATATACTTCGCATTATACAAGTTTCTAATTTACTACAAAGAATTTAAATTTTATTTTGCCGTTATTATAAAGTTTTTGAACTTACAAATAAATTTGTAATTATTATCTTTGAGACTTCTATTTTGTACATCAAGATTGTTAGGAATACCTGTTGGATATAATACATTTAAAATAATCATTGTCCGTTCGATGATTTCTAGGTCACCCGGTCTTTATTTTCACCCATATTGTTGGGTCTTTTCAACCAATACATTATAAATATCCAGTTTCGTAAGTGTATTCGGATCCGTATTCGGACTTAGGCCGTCGGTAATCATTGCCACTCGTTGACGAGTATGAAGGTTGGCACCCTCATGCTCTCGCGAAGACCTATCGTTCCATCGCGAATTGGTTATTGCCCAAGTTCGAATCGGGTATCCTTTATGCGATTGAACCTACATGAAGGACACGTATATATCCTTACATTCTGTATTAGTGTATATTTGTTACCAGATATCTCTTTGTCGGGACCTCTTGTCCCTGAAGAGCCTCCAACCACCCCTTATAGCTCTCCCGTAGCCTCCACATCTAGGTAAGGTTTCAACAATATGAAATGCAGTGAGATATTATAACATATAATACTTACCAATATCTCCTTGCCAAGACACAACGGCAACTCTTGCTGGAGAGTAGTGTCTCCTTCGAACCACAACTTCAAACTGACTCTTAATTTGACACTAACATTTAAGTCACTTCCCCCTCTCTCAACCAGTGTTGCCCTCTTATCAACATTAATTCTGCCCATATTTAAATCGCGTTCGAGACACTCCCGAGAGCGAAAGGAAACATGTATGGTATTTGATAACATCCTTTTATTATCATTCAAATAACAAAAAATCTCTTATTGCTAAATTATAAATTTTAATCTGTCGTCATAAATGAACTCTTATTATTATGATTGTTTAGAAAGGAGGTCTCTAGACCAAACTGATATTAATTCCCTAGCTTTTTCCGCGGCTGATCTACTACTTCTCCTATTTTGTCTTTCTTCATCAGAGCTTCCTTTATTAAAGATACCACCTTCACTACCTTCTAATTCTTTATCGGTGACTACTTTGTTAATAGACCTGTCTGATGTATGCACACCTTCTTTGCAGTCAATTTCAAGCTATAGACCTATTATATTCCTTGTCCCCAACCCTACTGATGCTACCCTAACTTTTCCATCTTTTCTTCTATATAAGATTACAATTTTACCAGTTTTCCATGTAAACGCAGGTAAGTCAAAGGTCTAGTATTTATAACTGTTTCAATCTCCTTAGTTACAGTACGTAATTGACTTTCGTTAAGTAAGCTTTTCTCCAGACTTCTCTTAAAACAGTGTTTTACGAGACCCACAAGTCTTTCGTACACTCCGCCGTGCCACGGAGCTAGTTCTGGTATAAACTTCCATTTAATTTTATTTCCTAAACAAAAGAGACCAGAGACAACATCGGCTATTAATTTGTATTGGGAAGCATTATCAGCTAAAATTAATTTTGATATTCCTCTAGCTGCAAAAAAAACCTCTTAGTGCTAATGCACATTCTTCTGTGGTTAAATCTTGAACTACTTCCAAGTGAATAGCTTGAGTAACCAAGCAGGTATACTATAGGTATATATGCATATCCACATTTTATGTTTCTCTTTCCTGTCATTAGATATAAGTAGTGGCAATGGTCATAGACCGCCTTCATTTATGCTTTCAGTTGTCAATTCTACATCATTTGTTTCATCATTTTCTTCCAATATTTCTTCAAAGGATAGATTGCTTGTCTGAAGCGCTTCCATATCTGCATTGGATTCTGATTCAGTCAGACCCTCCGCAGTAAGAGTTCTTAAAGTTCTTAAATTTGTCTAATTATTATCATAGTCAATATTTTTATGTAAGAACTGAGGGCCTTCAAACCATAGGTGTCTTCTTTTTAGTGAGTCTTTTCTTATAGCAATATCTGCAGGATTATCTTCCGATGTAACATGTAATATTATGATGCGTTTTTTTTTTTCATTTACTCTTCGGGCTATAAAAGGTGGTAACAACTTTTCTGACCTAATCCAGCTTATGACGACATGTCTATCTGTCTTTATTCTATATTCTCTTTAATGATTTCTTAAATTTACGTGAACACTACACATTGAATAAAACTATTATTTACGGATTTTATCGCGTTTAATTCAACTTTAATTTATTTTTATTATCCCGACGTTTCGGGTGCTGTAAAGCACGGGTCACGAGGGGACTGAGATGTTTGACATCCCAATGTCATAGTTAGTCCGGCTACCAGTTTTTGAATATTAATTTTTGGTCCGATTTACGCAAAATGAGCTTATAGTATCATGAAGTCTTGCAGTGGTATGCTTGGGTTTGGGTTTAATTTTGTAAATTATAGGATTCCAAGCAGCTGGCAGCACCCATCCATCTTCTCTATTGAAATTTGGATATTTTTTAATTTCAATAGCCTCGCGTATCATCCTTGGTAGGAATCGGTGTTCTTTTGCGAGGATTTGTGGTTAACAAATGTGATGTAATGGTGGGGTCGACTTTGAACACGTTCACAGGCTGCAGACCTCCCGGAGCGTCGGTACTTTAAGTCAGCTATATGTTTTTTCACACGGGTTTTTATGGATCTTTTTGTTTGAGCTATGTAAGAGAGATCACATTCACAATCTAACTTGTACACTCCTGCATCTTGTAGAGGGATATTACACTTGACGGATGGTAAAAATTGACTAATCTTCTTCGCCGGCTTGTAGTACGTTTTAATGGACGCTCGCTTTAAGGTGTAGCCAATCTTGTCTGTGACTCCTCTAACATACGGTAGTACAGCAGGTACACGCTCGACTGTGGCCGGCTTCACTCGTTCACTGTGACGTAGGGGCGGGACCCGAAGCTTGTTGTCTTGCAATACTTGCTTGACATGCTGAAGCTCGGCGGCCAGATGTTTTCTGTCACAGATCCCTCGTACTCTCTGAAACAAAGATTTACCCACGGTAGCTAACTGTGAAGGATGATGGTGAGATTCACCATTTAGATATCGGTTGGTATGGGTCTTTTTTCTATACACAGTGTGACCAATAGTGTTATCAGGATTTCGGGTGACTAAACATCTAGGAAGGCTAAAGAATTATTTGCCTCTAACTCCATTGTGACTTGTATTTTAGAGTTTATGGAGTTAAGGTGGTCTAAAAATGCAGTTGCTTTGTCAGATGGTAAAATTGTGAAAGTGTCGTCTACGTACCGCTTGTAGAACCTTGGATTTACAGGAACAGTAAGAAGGGCTTTCTCCCCAAAGTCCTCCATGAATATGTCAGCGACTATGGGAGACACAGGTGAGCCCATCGCCACACCATCTACTTGCTTGTAGAACTCCTCCTTCCACAATAGATAGCCAGATGTGAGGCAGTGTTCAAGTAATATTGCATATTCTTGAGGCATGTTATTTTCTTCTAGCTTCCTAGTTACAATTGAGATGCAGTCAACAATAGGTAGGCATGTAAATAGTTACTGAACAGCAAAACTGACCATCGTTTTATTGTCAGCGAGATGTAGGGCTTTTATCTCACTCACAATAACAACAAATGATATGAATCCTTTGTGTGTGCTCTGGTATGTCCTCTCAGTGGTGATAGTATTTTTGCTTAGTATTGCGCCAGCTTATAAGTTGGTGATACGATCTGGCTCACTATGGGACGTAGTGGAGCGTTTGGTTTGTGTATCTTCGGTAACCCATACAACCTCAGCGGTTTGGTACATGGTGGTATTAGCGAATTCACGTCGAGATTTAATTTTTCGGAGTATTTCTTTATTAAATTGCTACAGTACATATCTGGCTTGAAAATAAGTTACAGATTATAAAGCAAAGACTTTAGAACGATTGCACAGAGTATCACAACCCTTAACTCGATTCGGTGTTCCGATTGCCGATAGTTGAGAGAGAGAAATACTATTATTATAGTGTAGTTTATAATTATAAAATTCACTTCACGTAATAGTTTTAACTTTAGAAATATATTTTCGTTTCTATTTCGCAAATTAAAGTAATTGAAAAAAATATATTAGCACGAACTGAATTTATTTTGTATTACCACTCACATGACTACAGATGTGAAGCTACTTTGTATCTATTCTATTCTATCGGTAATTCAATGTAAATTAAGGGTGAAAAATTCCTTTATCATCCTACGGCTTTACTAACGTAAGCATGAAAAATTTGTACTTTTACTTTTCAATCACTCCTTAACGACCTCTATTAATAGTAAGCTAATACACTAGTTTACCAAACTCTTTGTTTGTTAGCAACGAACAATTAAAACAATAAACTCTTATGAGGTGTCTCTTGGTGCGTCATATTTAGTAATCGTATATAAACTTCACAGTAATTACATTTATTTTCATTGTGACCTCTCTTAGTCTCGACCTCTATTAATAGTAAGCTAAAACACTAGTTTACTAAACTCTTTGTTTGTTAGCAACGAACAATTAAAACAATAAACTCTTATGAGGTGTCTCTTGTTGCCTCATATTCAGTACTCATATAAAAGTTTACCGTAATTACATTTATTTTCATTGCGACCTCTATCTCAGTGTTTCGTTACAAAAAAAAATAAATGACTTACAAGCTCTTAGAGGTACTCTGTTATTTACCGCCTCTTAAAGGGTAAATAAGAAAATAGTAGGCTACTCTTTAAGCCTGTATACAGGAATTCAACCGACGTCTCTTGGTGCCGAATGGTATTGTACACTTGGGTCATAATATCCAAGTCGAACAATACAATTTACTAAATCTAAATTTTTAATTTACTCTTTACTCTTTACTAAATCAACTCTCGTCTCTTAACTAGAGTAGAATCGAATGCTTTATCTATGACAGTTTTGGTAAGGTGAACAACATTATATATAACAAAAATATAAAATTACTTTAGTTAGTCAGAGAAACAAAAGCAAATATAATGAGGGTACTTATAAATTGTATTAAAAATCAAAACAGTTCGCCCTTCATGATATCTATATTTTGAAAACATAATATTATATATTTTACCGCGCTCTCTCATATCCCAGCACCTCCACCATGTCGCGAAGACCTATCGTTCCATCGCGAATTGTTTATTGCCCAAGTTCGAATCGGGTATCCTTTATGCGATTGAACCTACATGAAGGACACGTATATATCCTTACATTCTGTATTAGTGTATATCTGTTACCAGATATCTCTTTATCGGGGCCTCTTGTCCCTGAAGAGCCTCCAACCACCCCTTATAGCTCTCCCGTAGCCTCCACATCTAGGTAACGTTTCAACAATATGAAATGCAGTGAGATATTATAACATATAATACTTACCAATATCTCCTTGCCAAGACGCAACGGCAACTCTTGCTGGAGAGTAGTGTCTCCTTCGACCCACAACTTCAAACTGACTCTTAATTCGACACTAACATTTAAGTTAAGTCACTTCCCCCTCTCTCAACCAGTGTTGCCCTCTTATCAACATTAATTCTGCCCATATTTAAATCGCGTTCGCCACACCAGTGTTGCCCTCTTATCAACATTAATTCTGCCCATATTTAAATCGCGTTCATGACACATGCCCCCTTTACATTAAAACCTCTGGTCGGGACTCAGAAGAAAATCTCCCAGCAGTACGGGTTAGTGCCTGCTGACGCAAAACAGTGCCATGGGTCTTTGACGGCTCCATGACACCTCACCCCCGCTTTTCCAGATATCAAATCAAATAAAAAAATCGGTTATCTGCAACTGGCATAGTAATCGTCATTTCTTTTGCGCTTTAAATACTAATTCGCGTTTTGGGGAGTTTCCCCAAAATATTATACCATATCTCAGTGTTAAAGAGACGTATGCACTGTAAGCGGTTATGACTTTTTCACGATTTGTAATTTTTTAAGGTTATATAGTGCATAGTGGTATTAATTTATCTTTTTTACTATGTGTTCAATATGTTTACTCCATGTCATTTTTTCATCCAGCCAAAGTCGCAGAAATTTTGTGTGTTTATGTGTTGTGTATTATTTATAGGAATTGAATTTTAGCATTTACCTAACGAGGGCGGATCCTTTCGAAGTCCCACATAATATCCTTCATCGAAATTAGATTAGATTATAAACAGAAGTAGTTATCGAATTCAACAGTAAATATTTTTTTTAATTTTGACTTAAACTTTTTGGACTATTTTTCCTTATAAACGTGTTAACAATATACGTCACAATTTAAAACAGCGATTGCCTAATACTGAGTCATAAATAATGAATCACAATCAGTAATGTTTACATGAAGTAAGTATTTTATGGTGCAAACAGGCTTGATTGACAAACCTAACCCAGTATGTATGTATGTATGTCAGCCTTACAGGAGAATACCTCATCATCATCATCATCATTACAGCTCTTCACAAGTCCACTGCTGAACATAGGCCTCCCCCAAGTAACGCCACAAAGCACGGTCCTGAGCCACCTGCATCCATCGACTTCCTGCATGTCTTACCAGGTCGTCACTCCATCTAGTGGGGGGTCGCCCCACACTACGCCTACCGGTACGAGGCTGCCAAAACCCTATCCCACAATTTCAAAATTCCATTTTTCGGAAACTGGGTTTGTTGCAACTGTTTCTTGTAGCTATAGTTATTATAGTGATCAAAATTTATGTATTTAGGCAAAAAACACGACCGTGAAGAGATTCGCCGAAAAAAAATAAAAATTAAAAATTCTCGCCTGTGTGAGCAAGATTTTTAGTTTTCAAGAAAAAAATTGGTTACTATAGTAAATTCCTACAATACCTTAAAACATTTAGTGTAAAAATTCAGAAACGAGATATTGTGTTTCTACGGTTTTTAAAGATTTTTCTCGATTTTATTAATTTCTCTTATACTATAGTAGGCAGAGCCGCAAAGTTTTAATAATAGTTTTGTTTGATTATTACAACACACATACATTTAGATCAGATTAGAGAAGTTTATGTAACTTTGTTTTTCATAATACTTGGTTTTGTACCTAGATTAATCACTGAATTTACGAGTGTTGTTGGAGAAACAAATAAACGCTTTTATCTATCTATCTATCTACCTACATAAGTAGCAAATATTTAAATCTTTAAAATAAGACATATTTGAACTTCTTCTTCTGTTTACGCCGGGCTGCGGGCCCAAGCTTGTATGGAATCAAGTTCATCTCTTTTAAATTACAAATATATGAAATTTAGTGTCAATCAGTACTGATATTAATAATGTGCTATGCCATTCTTCCAGGCGCTAAACATATCCGCTGCTAAGGAAGAACGCATAATATAAGAAAGTTAATCAATAGGTATAATTTTGTTTGATTGGTTTTTTAAATTATTATTGGAAATTATATTAAGGCGCGTTAGATGTATCGGTTGTTCAAATGTTTTAATTTAATTAAAATCTTACCCTCACCTCAAAATATATAGGATTTACCCCTCTGTCATATAGGGTAGGCAGAGACTACAGACTTCCATTTCGCACGATCCTGACACACCTCTCTCGCCTCCTTCACATCCAAATACCTAGGCATACATGCTCGTCGGTTAACTCGGTACTCCTAATTTGGCCCGTTTTAAATAAATCGCTAATTTGGTCGAGGAATTTTCGCCTAGGACGTCCCTTTGCGACTCTGCCATTCACTTCTGCAACATACATTTTCTTTGTCACTCTTTCCTCATTCATTTTTTCCACATGACCAAACCACCGAAGCATTCCTTTCTTAATCCTGGTCACATCATCTTGCTTTTTATATACAAAAATTGTTGAGAATTAAAATTAAACACACGAAGTTGGTAAAATTGTAACTAAAATAATCAATAAACTGTGGTCGGTGTTTACGTTCATTAATTCTTCAGTTTACTACATCGGAGACCTAAAGCTGAAATATGGTCTTGGTTTTCATGAGAGGTAACGAGTAAATGAAATTAAGGAAACATTTGAGTAGGTTATGATGCTGTGACTCGTTGGGGGAGAAAAGCAGAATAAATGAGTTTGTTGTATGATGGCATTTTACTTAAATAGCTTTCAATAATAATATTATTTAATTAATATTGCAAAAAAAGGTGGGAATAATAGTTATTTATTTTTCATTAAATATTTTTTATTATTTACAGGTAATATTAAGAGATATGTTCTATATATTAATGACACACACATCATTGATTAATACACGTAAACATATCACATTTTAAACATATTTATCAAAATAAAAATTATATATTTATTACCACCTGTATCAGCTGTATCATAAAATCTGTAATTGTTTTTCAATGGCTGTAAAGAAAGTATTTTTAATTTTTTAAATTAAATAAACTACCATTTAATGCAAACTAAGCTGAAGTGGCAGATGTGCTTACATCATCACTGGACGCTACCGGAGTAGAAACTGACTGTTCTGTTAATTTTTTTTCTGCTTCTTCTATTGATTTTGGTGTTGTTTTTATGACTTCGTAAGAAGATTTCCCCTCCACATTATAATTTTTTGAGACAGTATCATTAGTTTCCGCGGGTGCCGATGTAGGTCCTGCAGTAGATAGCTCTAAGGTATTTACGACGGTCGTTGCCAATGTCGTTTCCGAGAAACTTAACATGCTATTTGTTTGATTTTCTGATATAGCTCGTGTCGAAGATTCCTCAAATTCTGTTAAATCTTTTACAGGTTGAGTTAGTTCAGTAGTTGTCAAAATTTCACCGGAAAGGGAAATTGTTTTAGAGGAATCAGTCACATCTGATTTAGTATTAAGTTCAGAAGCAGTAAATACTTCAGTTCCCTGTTTACGTGATGGAATAGTCGTTGCAATTTTTTCTGATTTTTCATCAGTATCTGCAGAAGAAAGTATCGCAACAGTTTTGGTATTTTTTAACTTTTCTTTAGGATTTGAAAAATATTCAGTTGTGGCTTTAGCAAAATCTTGAGGTAGAGAAGAAGAAACAGTTGTCATTTCGGCTGTAGATAAAGTTGTAGTTCTGGAAGACTCAAGTACTTCATTATGAACTTGTTTTTCAGATGGTAATTTTATACCAGTAGTTTGTGTAGATGCCGATTCACTGTTATCCAATAATTTTAATGCACGTCCAGACATTTTACTTGATGCTGAAGAAATTTGGGCTGGAGCTGGTGCTCTTGGTAAATGATTACCTATAGGTTGAAAACCATTCTCGTTAGCAATGTATCTGTAGAAAATAAAATATAATGTTATTATTTCATTTAAAATGAATTTATCTATAATAATTATTTAATGATTCTGGTTAAAAAGTAAAAAAAAAACCTCAAAGTAATGATGGTTCCGTCAGGCGCAGTATATGAATATGACCCTTGTTGTACATGGATTTCATCACTGTAATCGCTTTCTTCTTCTTCTTTGCTGTTAGAGCTACGACTTGTTGTCTTTGGAATAATCTTATCAAAGGATATCTCCTCTCTTTTTATTCCATTTCCAGTTTCAAAACTAAAAAAACATTTCATTACGTAAATTTGTTTTATATAATCCAAATGAGAACGTCTTTCATAATAAAAAAAATGACATTAGCATTAATAACACTGCAGTTTTAACGAAGCTGAACTTTCAGATTCAGCTCCAATAACCTTTATTTCATCGACTATTTCTAAGATCTTTTAAAATGAGACAGCTTACTGGTTTAACTTAAAATATTTGCCCGTACCCAGTTCCCAGTGCAGATAAATTGATGGGGCAGACCATTAACAAACAAAAAATTTTGTGTTTCTCACTTCGAACAAATCTATTTCAAGTTATAAGTAACTATAATTCAAGTAAATTATAAATAGGTCACGTGACCCTGGAATAAGATTAGCGGCATTTACGCAAACGAGTTGTGATTTATGAAAAATTACTTATTACACTTTCATTTCATCCCATTTATAAAACTTAATAGTTATATTTAAAACAGTGTGTATTACAAGAAATAATTGGAAAGACGTTCTTTGGTAAGTATTATATTGTTATCTTAAGTATCAAAAGAAGCGCGTTCTTTGTACACCCTAAAATGATTAAGGAATTAAAAAATCATTTTTTATGTCAATAAAGTCTATGTCATTAATGATTATCAATATCTGTGATACACCGAATTGTCAGAACGGAAAACTGTGTCCAGACATGATCGATCTATCGTTAAAAACATGCGTAGAAACCGGACCTTAACTTTTCTGAAAAAAGTTCGAGGGGTTGCACTAAGCCAAAACCTGTGAGATAAAGGCTGAAATTAACCGGATTAAATTTACACCTGCCTGCCAGAGGCCCTGTTTTGTCACATGCCATCGAGTAGCTCGATTGCTCGCAGTCACAATCATGAAAATTGAAATGGCAATGCTTGTAGTCAAGTTCTATTCAGATGATTGAACGATTAAAATTTGGAGACACTCGGGATAGAGGTTGTAGGGAACTGTTGTGGCCAAGGTGCCTTTATTAAGCATTTATGAAACAAATGAGTAATGTTTTAAACTACAAAAATATTTCTTTCCTGTAATATCTTTCTTTTTTTCTTGATCTCGTCAACTATTGTTAATATGTAAAATCTAAATTAATAAACTTAATTGTTACAAAAATATCCTTGATTATTTTTGAACACATTTTTTTGCGTTCCTCTCAAATTTGTTCATGAGTGTGTTACTCGTAACATGTAGATATATTATATTATAACTATGGCAATAAAAAACACATATATTTTATTTAATATGGCTTTAAATGTTAAAAAATGTGTTTTTAAACGGGAAAGAACTGAGCCCTGTTGAATCCTCTGTTTTTCTTGATTACTGTCGACATACATATTATATAACCCATACATCTAAACAAGCAAGCAGACTAAACTCTGCAGCTTATGCTATAAAAAAGATTGGAGGTCTCCCTAGTGTCGAGACAGCTAAATTAGTTTATTTTAGTTATCACCGTAGCATAATGAATTACGGGATTTTGCTATGGGGAATTGCAGTGGATTTAGAAACTATTTTTGTTTTGCAAAAGAGGGCTATAAAAGCTACTAACAACCTAAAACCGAGAGAGTATCTCAGAGAAACTTAAATAGAAATAAATATTCCGTCTCTTAGTAGATTTACGAAAATTTGATTTATGTTCAAAAACAAAAGAAATTTTAGTAAAAAAGTGATATACACTGCAATATACATTACGAACAAACACAAGCTAGTGATATCAGTTTATCGACTCCACAGGGTCAGTGATTGATTTTTAAGGCAATTTATATACGCTATTGCAACAAAGTCCCAGAAAATAGAAAAAGTCTCTGTATTACCAAGTTTAAATATTTTGTTAAACAAAAAACTGTATAAAAAGTGTTATAATAATATAAATAATTACATGGATTATAATAGCCCCTGGGATTGAGGTGGTCGCCTCCAAGCTGTTTCTAAAATAAATTTTGTAAATAGTCTGTATAACCTTACATGCTGTACAAGTCCCGCTGGGTTTCATGCTGGTTATACCCAGGACAGAGGTTTTTCCGGAACCAGTGGTAAAGTAAATGACTATCAATAAGAATAACATGTAATCTATATTTAATGAAAAATCTATTCTATTTTATTATATAAAAATACAACATATTCTTTAATTCGAAAGGGATATATGCTCTGTTTTTATGTAAGCTAATCCTGGCACGAGTTTAAGTTTTATCACTTGTAAGTATGTAAAAATTACCTGAACTTATATGTTCCATTTGCATCCAGTTCCTCAGATTGTGAAACAATTGGTATGATAGTTGGTTGTTGTTTTTCCAATGGTGCAACATTCGTAGGGGCTCCTAAGGTACTTGTCGCCACAAAAATCAGAAAGACTAATTTAGAAATCATTTTTCCACCAAGAACAAAATCACTCCCGATATTGAGTAATGAATGGTACTCCAGACTTCACAAGCACTTATATGTAATACTCATCTATTTACATTACATATTCCCCCCGCCTTCTAGTGCTATGGATCTCAGTGGACGCTAAATACTTCAACCTTAGCAGTTGACTGATGTGTTCTTCGAAAAATTACACAATCGCCAAGGTGTCAATAAAATGTCATGAAGGGTGACAAACAATAGTGATTAATATAGTTAATTTATATATTAAACTATTTTAGATTTGTATTAGTATTTAAATTAATATAATACTTAATTTTAGTCATACCTAGTATGTGCAATATTGTGAAATTAAAATACAGAAAGTTAAGCTAACTTCAGCGAATACAAATTACAGTTTTTTCTTACAAGTTTTTATAGCTATCAAAATAAGTAACGTAATTCAACGTTGCTGAAATTTACTGTAAATAAGTCAATAATAAACAGATTTAATATATATTACTACTACTACTTAAACGTATTTGGTCAATAAGGCATTGTTAGCCTTAAAATTATCTTTAGCTTTTTTACTACAGTCGCATCATTTATTTTCATAAGTGTGATTTTTAATTCGATTGACCCGGAAATATCCGTTATCCAAAATCTGTTATGTTGTCTACTTTAACTTAAAAAGATTTAAGTTTATAATTTATTTTTAAATATGTATTTCCGCATATTTTAAAACTAGGCAAGCGTTGATGTCATACAATATCAAAACATAGCCACCTAATTATAAAACGCATTTCTTATTCTTGTCAAACAAGTAACTTCGTTATTCCACAGGTATAAGATGGATATGACTTGATCTAGTGACTCATCTTTATCAAAACTTCAAGCGAGTTAATATTGTTTTTAGTGATATTTTTAAAATAAGTCTTCTTAACTATGTTTGTAAGACGGCATTTAATATTTTATATAACAACAATAATACTTATTTCAAGTTTTATTCAAGCGCAAGATGGAATAAGTGGTCGTTATGGGTACAACCATCCACCATCGGCAGAATCCGATGATATTGTGCCAGTTGCAGTAGACTACGGTAACGGAAAGGCACGTGAAAATAAGGCAATCAGACATTCTTCTGACTTAAGAATGAAACCTGAAGAAGATACAGTTATTACAAAAGAACTTTCAAAACAGAGCGATTTTCCGCCGAAAACTAAAATTCCAGTAAAAATGATGGTTAATGATCAAAGAGAATTGGTTAGCATACACGGTAAAATTGAAGGATATAAACCTAATATTTCTAGTAGAGAAGGTTCATTAAATGAACCGGATAAAGATCGAACTCAAAATATTACCGACAAACGAAAAAGAACGCGAATGCGCAAACAATTTGTACCGATCATAACTGAAGAAAATTTTGTATTTTCACACCGTGGTAACTTTCACTATAGGTGATTGTCACGGAGCGTTTTTAATACTTTTTCTTCTTAGTGTCAAAATAATTAAACTTTATTTATTACTCCACAGCTTCGAAGGTGGTGACGGGACGAAAGTATTTGAGGAAGGCAATTCAAATAACAAAGCAGGTGCGAGCGTGAAAGGAGGCTTTTCATATACAGTAAGGAACACACTGTCAACTAAAATAAAGTTAAAGTATAAGTTACAGCCACTATACTTTCCACTGCTATTCACATACATTCTCATAATTTGTAAGAGGATTTTTAGCTTTGTCCTCCGCGGTGCCACAATGAGTGTTGTTGGACTTCACATGTCTTCAAATTATTTTTTATTTCGCACGACGTTCAGTAATGCCACAAAGCTTTGTGGCATTACTTGGGGGAGGCCTATGTTCAGCAGTGGACTTGTGAAGGGCTGTAATGATGATGATGATGATGACGACGTTCAGGATTTCGTAAGATGTTTTTCCTTCCCCGCCGAGCAAATGGTAAATCAACACTAAAATTTTGTATTAATTTTTAATATACTACGTTTTTTATCATAATGTTGCATTATCATCTGAATTTGAGCTATATTTAAAATTTCAAGTCTCCAGCGCATCGGGAAGTTAGTTTAAAATCTCTTACTAAATTTCACCCCGAACGATAGACAGACAGCAAAACAAGAAAGTACCCTAGTAAAAATGTGGCAAAATTACAATTAATTATTTAATTATTCAGTACGGTTAGGATCAAACCAGAGTTGCTCGTGTACTATGAAACTTATAGTGAACGCATAGCTACCACAGCTCTTTAATAAAATGACTTTTACATAAGGCAAAAAATTTATATCTTTAAAATTATTAACAATTTTATTATTTGAAAATGGCTTTAAAATCACAATATAAAAAATATTTTTTAGGATAACGATGGCAACGATTATAGCCTCTCATACACAGCCGATGAAAATGGTTATCGACCATCTGGAGCACATCTTCCCACGCCTCCTCCTATTCCACCGGAAATTGCACGTGCGCTGAAATATCTTGCCACTAAATCCACTCCTCAACCAGCTACTGAGGCAACAGGAAAGTTCAACTAATTTTAGTACATTTTCTGTATAACTAAATTATTAAACTAATTGTTAAATAAAAGTTGTTATATGTCGTATTTTTCTTCCATATACTTAATAAGAAAAGTTTAAGTAATTAAATCGCAAATCTGAGAGATATGCTTAAATAACTGTCGATTACATTGCTGTGTATTCTCTCAGTAATTATTTAACACATTCCACCGAAACAATTTGCAAATATTAATATCTTCCTAGATATACATAAATATTGCACATGTGTTGGATGTAAATAGACTGATAAATTACGCGCTCATATTGACACCTCTTTGACTTTACTTTGAACCTGTCGAGGTCACGCAACTCGCGAACATTAAATCGGGTTTTTATTTTAATACCACACTAAAACTGATGAAAATCGCATTAATATTAAAAGGAAATACTATAAATTAAGCCCGCTGCCTTAACTAAGTTGCGTAATAAGTATTATTATAAAACCGACGAAGTGCGAGTCGAGTTTCGATTCATACAAATTATAACAAATATTTTAAAAGTTATTTTATAAGGTGACGTCTTTTTGTCTATGTAATTAATTCAGAATAACATATTTATTCAGCAGCATTTATAGGGCAGCGTTCGGGAAAATACGTTACATCTTCTCGTCAGGTGTACCTCAAAACCTGAAAACGAAATTGTACAACCAGTGCGTGTTGCCAGTGATGACTTATGGAACTGAGACGTGGTCCTTCACTGCTGGCCGTACGAGGACACTCAAAGTCGCTCAGCGAGCTATGGAGAGGGCTATGTTCGGGGTTTCTCTGCGTGACAAACTTATAAATGAGAATATCCGCAGTAGAACCAGAGTGACCGACATAGCCCAACGGATTAGTAAGCTGAAGTGGCAATGGGCCGGCCATATAGCTTGAAGAACCGACAACCGTTTGGGAAAAAAGTTTTAGAGTGGCAGCCTCGTACCGGTAGGCGTAGTGTAGGGCGACCCCCCACTAGATGGAGTGGCGACCTGGTAAGACATGCAGGAAGTCGATGGATGCAGGTGGCTCAGGACCGTGCTTTGTGGCATACTTTGGGGGAGGCCTATGTTCAGCAGTGGACTTGTGAAGGGCTATAATTATGATGATGATGATAAACATATTTATAAAATTATGTTTAAAAGCGTTTCTTATTATCAATGATTACTGCTAAAACCGGCAGTTTGACTTGATGTATATATTACCGTAAATTGTAAATACCGTTAGATTATAACCAATCTCGCGAGATTGTAAACTGTCGAAAGATTGAAAGCCGTAAGCGTTTTTCAAAAAAAGTGTATATGTGACGAACCGGAAATTAAGTGAATCAAAAGTTTTTAATCTGCAAAATTTTATTTCCAGTTACTAATTAATAGTATAAGGGACATATTTTTGAAATTTCACGTAAAAGTATTAAAACATGAGGATGTAATATGAATTTTTCGTTACTCTTCTGTATAAAAATATTATGATGCGTCACAAAAGAAAATCTAATATTTATTTTAAAATATTAATATTATTTCAACACGCGTGGCACGTAACTATAAACATTAATGCGAGCTTTCTGTGGTCAGTGTGTGGTTCAGTATGGCTACAAATTCACACGTAAAAGAAAATATTGTTTTATAAGAAAAATTATTTCTGATTAGTCACTAACTTGGCCAACTCAATGAAGAAGAATCAGTTTATTTTAATAACAATAGCATTTAAATAAAGTTTTTTTTAAACTGGGTTAACTTAATTTATAATGTATGTTTTTGCACTAAAAAAAGACACTAATATCTAATAAATAAATACAGATTTTGAAAAAAATCTACACAAGTATTTAGGGACAAGTGCTCTTCAAGAGTGTGTTCTTCAAGAACTTCGCGTGACTTATGGGAAACAAAAAGCTCCGTATAGAATGAACAGTGACACGTTGCGATGTTTTCGGTATACTTTGTGGGTGAATTATAACGTGGATTTGGACTTTTTCGTTAAATCATTTAAAACTATGTTGTTTATCATTTTCACATTCCGCAATGACAATTCTAGAATCTCTTGTCGACCTTTTAGTCTGTCTATAGTATTTTGTTTTTCTTGGCTCCCTAAGCTATGCTTCATAAGCTAGCTTTTGACGATATAATTGTTTGTTTTTGTTTTTCTGTTTTAATGTTTAGTTTACGTATCTTTTGTAAAGCATTTTTGTACCTTAATAATAATTTAGCGTATTTAATTTTTAGAGAGAGAGTTATACTCTTTCCGAATTTCCATTTTTTTCTTCGTTCTTGTTTGTTTCTTTCTTTTGTTTTTGGTTATTTTTTTTCTAATCTCCACTGTCTTCTTCTTTAATTTTTTCTGATTCTGTCAAGTCATTAATTATTTTTTGATTTTTTCTTAATCTTTGAAGTTATTCCTGGCACTGTTCTTTATATTTTCAGGTCTTTCTGATTTTAATCGTTCTGTGTATTTTTTTGCTGCAGTTTATTATTATTTCCCTGTAAATTCTAATGAAAAACCGTAATTTCTTAAACAAAAAATAAATTTATGTAATAATATATAAAAATATTGTTGTCGAATGTAGACAAATAGTGTTTTGGTGATTGTAAATTAATTTCGTGTTGAAAATAACTCACAGTTTTAGAATTAGTTACATAAAATTGTTGTGGAAGTAAAATGAATCTGTGATTAACCAAAGAAGTGCAATTTGAATAGAAATAGAAATAGAAATAGAAACTTTTTTATTCAATGTAGATTATAAAAATACTTATTGAAGGTCACTTTTTTAATTTACCACTGGTTCGCAAAAAAAACCTCTGTCCTGGGAAGAACCAACAAGAAACCCAGCGGGACTATTTTTTTTTAATAATAGCTTACAATCATGTTTACAATCAACAACACAAGACAAATTAGAAATAGCTTGGTAGCGATCACCCTTCCCAGGGGTTATTATCATCTATAAATTCCTTAATATTATAATAATCCTTTTTATACAAACTTAGTTTAATAACATTTTTGAACTTTGTGTATGACAAATTTTGTATATTTTCTGGGATTTTGTTGTAAAAGCGTATACATCGCCCCAAGAATGAATTACTGACTCGGTGGAGTCGAGTAACTGGTACTACCAGCTTGTGTCTGTTCCTAGTATTTACAGAATGAATATCACTTATTTTCGCAAAACTACTTTTATTTTTGTGTACGTACATTACATTTTCATAAATGTATTGAGAGGCCAGAGTTAATATATTAATTTCTTTAAATTTTTGTCTCAGTGACTCTTTTGGTTTTAAATTATATATTGCTCTAATGGCCCTCTTCTGTAAAATAAATATAATTTCAGTGTCAGTCGCGTGTCCCCATAGCAAAATACCATACGACATAATGCTATGGAAATAACTGAAGTAAACTATTCTAGCTGTTTCAACACTGGTAAGAGTTCTAATCTTTTTTACAGCATATGCTGCAGAACTAAGTCTGCTAGCTAGTTTTGATATATGGGGGAGCCATTGAAGCTTTGCGTCCAGTGTGATTCCAAGAAAAATGGTGGTATCAACAAGACTCAGTTCCTCCCCATTTAAAATTACATTAGTATTGACATGTTTAACATTAGGAGTTACGAATTTCATACACTTAGTTTTAGTTCCATTCAAATGCAAATTATTAACATTAAACCAATTGAATAACTTAGCTATAGCATTATTTACTTCGTCGTAATTTAATAACTGTCGTTTTAATTTGAAAATTAATAAAGTATCATCAGCAAATAATACTATATCATGGTTATTCCCTACTATGTAAGGTAAGTCATTAATATAAGAATGATAAATAAGTTAGTGTTAGTCACCGAACATAGCCTAAATTAAGTAAATTATCCGTGTTTTAGTATTTATTATTATGCACGTTAACCTATGTGACCTCATTTGATAACATTTAAAATGTCGGATATTGAGTCTGTCCATCAACAAAATTCAGAAATGCCAGTTATTGTTAATTACAAAGAATTTACCACAGAGTTACAAAACTATTATAGCGGGCATAAAAAATAGTAAAAAATTGGGACAAATCAAATAATACAAAGTGTGATAAAATTGTTAAACGAGTACAAAACAATCAAATCTCAAGGTAGGCGACCAACAAACAAGCGTTACATGCAATAAAACACGATGTAGTGAACATTGGTAACCCGAAAGTTTTAATAATGAAGAGAAAAGATATCTCAGATCCTGTAGTAAAAATAATTCCAACGGAAGTATTATCAAAAGATTCTCAACGCACATATTGCCACTGGACATGGACATCGAGACAAAATTGTTTAAGCCTTGAAAGAAAAATATGTACCAATATTCGCGGTTTCAATATTCCTAAATTTGTATAAAACATGTCTATTATTGAAAAGCTTTCCAAAAAAGTAATTGTAAAACCGTTGATTTTTGACCTCTTCAATCGAAGGAGACAAATAGATCTTGTAGATTTCCAAACATTCCCTGAACAAGAGTATAAATGGTTATTACAATATGAGGATCATTTAACAAAATTCTTTTTTTTTTGTGACTATCAAAAGCAAACAGGCTAAAGAAGTGGCAATCGAGATTCATCAGATTTTTTTGGAAGTTGGCTGTCCTTATATCCTCCAAAGTGATAACACAGCATCTGTACTTAAAGAAATAGTCAGTTTGTGACCTGCTTGTAAATAGGTGATAAAAGACCTAGATACCTAGACCTACAAAGCCAAGGAAGTACAGAATGTTCAAATCAAGTGGTAAAAATATGATTCGAGCCTGGATGACAGATAATAAATCTACTAATTGGTCCATTGGGTGCTACTACGTTCAGTTCCAGAAAAATGCATCTTACGATTGCCTTGTTAGGCGAAGATCCAAAACTCGGATCTCTCATCCACCTACTTATCTAAAAATGTAGAATAGAAGTAGAAGAAAAACTATTTCAGTGGAGTAAAATTTAGCTTAAATAGAGTCAACAACAAATCAATTTTTTCTCTGTAATTATGCCACCCGCACACTTTTGTAATTATGGGAGAGTGAAACCCTTACATCTTGTAAAATATTGTAAGCATTTCGCAAGCAGCAATATTAATTAATCAGAACTAAAAAAGACAATTTCAAATTCCTTTATCTGTTGCAAGCCCTATCCTCAGGTGTGAAGTTTTTTAACTTAAACTATTTTATTAAGTCTACCAACGGCTTTCGATTGTAACTAACCTATTTAACAAACAACACACCAAAAATATTTACAATAAACGGTCAATTAATTACCGATTGTCGATTAAATTTAAGTAACCTTTAGAAAGATCCTTTGAAGAGGTCAATATTTTATAAGCTTAGTCACTAGTACTGTTCTAAATTTGACTCGTCACAAAACACTGCCGTATGACCCATTGAAATTTAATAAAAAAAGAAAAGATAATGTAGCTCCCTCCCGTTTTGTTGGTAGGTACTGTTTTCGTACGCATACTCACACTCACGCATGCACGCACGCACGCACGCACAGACGCACAGACGCACAAACGTACAAACACACACACACACACACACACACACGCACGCACTCACACACACACGCACACGCGCACACGCACACACGCACACACGCACACTCGCACACTCGCACACACGCACACACGCACACATGAACACGCGTACACGCGTACACGAGCACACGCGCACACGCGTACACGCGCACACGCGCACACGCGTACACGCGAACACGCGCCCACGCGCACGCGCACGCTCACGCACACGCGGAGGCGCCGCGCACGCGCATGTGCACGCACGTACGTACGCACGCACGCACGCACGCACGCACGCACGCACGCACGCACGCACGCACGCACGCACGCACGCACGCTCGCACGCACGCCACACACACACACACACACACACACACACACACACACACACACACACACACACACACACACACAACACACACACACACGCACACACACACACGCACACACACACACACACACACACACACACACACACACGCACGCGCACACACACACACACACACACACACACACACATTGACTTGAACAGAGTTGAGTACAAAACCAAAGTACGTAACTTATATGACTGCTGAGAGTTGTCAGATAGGGTGACGTTTCTCTCTCGTAAACTCTTCATCGCTGCATTGGAATATGTTTTCAATCAACTGAATTATAAATAATATAGTGTCAACATCAATGGGTTATTCATTATTCACTTTCGATTTTCCGACGTTATTGTAATAACTGTGGTAGAATCGCTAGAGGAATTCAGCGCTATACCTAATGACCTCAGCAGTGACTCCTAAGGGATAGGTCTTAACATGAACATATGAATATGATGAAAGACAATGATGTGTGACGTCCATGTCACACTTACGTCGGTAGTTGTCGGGAGCACCACGTTAGAGATTGTTGACGAGTATAATATTTACTAGGGCTTAATACTAAAGTCCAACTTCGAGCGAGATCTACTTCAAAATTTAAAAAAAGTGTGCGTGTTTCATTCCAGTGATGACATTAATATGAATCTGAGACGTATAGGGGATTTGCTCGGAGCTTATCTGCGTGACTTATAAAAAAGAACTTTACATAGCTCGGTGTTCTTACTTTTTATGTTATATGTATAGCTATATTTCTTAAATACCCAACTAATTCAAATAATTATTTTCACAGTATCCAGCGCTGCTCAGGATAGTGCTTGAGAATAGGTTAAAAAACGAATGAATACATCAATTCCTTCCAATTTGGAAAAGTCTTACGTGTACTTTTACCTTTATATGTGCTGTTGTTGTTGTTTGAGTATACAATAATGTTTTGACTTTCGACATAGTTTGAAATAGTTGTGACAGTAAAATAATAACTTTTGAAGGTCATATCGGCATTGTGTTTTTAATTTAGTGCCAATAATAATTTATTGGCACTAAATTAAAAACACAATGCCGATATGACCTTCAAAAGTTATTATTTTACTTTTTCGTAATACATTTCTAATCTAATTAGGGTCAACATTTCAATTATTTAATAAAAGTTATTTAATGGATGAACACGATATAAAAGAATTCAACATTACGGTTGTATGTTGTATTATAATAGTTTAGTCGTTTCACTTTTATATTTAGGCATGTTATATTTCATGGATAAACTTTATTTGAGGATTGAAAAATCGGCCCTTAGTTATTTTAATGTTTTTCCTCATAAAACCTCGTATTTTTTGGTTCTCTGTAATGTAAATATATTTGTAATAATATTTTATGGGTTTTATGAAATTACTTGAGAATGTTATAGTAGTAAAACAAATAAATATACCTATACATTCCATTTGAAATGTTTATGAAACGCTCTGTGTTTTTTTTGGCTGGAAACACAGACGAATGTCCTTTAATATGTTTTCTAAATTAATTATAGACTTCATAGGAAATAAGCTGAGCTGTTAACACTTATTGACTGTGACGTTCGCATAGAGTATAGGACGGTAAACAGCTATAACCATACGCACTAACGAAATTGAAAACCTCGGTATTTTGCGGATTCTTAGGTGTAATAAAACATAATAAATTTCTTTTCAATGCATCTTAAGCACTGATTTTGCATTTATTTCATCAATAATTCGTATTCAACACTTTTTCCATGACGATATTGTTTATCACAGTTCATACATCTTTCGTTTTTTTTTTTATTATTTTTGTTGCTCTGAGTATAAAAAATGTTAAGTACTCTTTGGTAAACGTGCTATTTGATACTGAACTCCCGATTTAATATATTTACAATCATACTTAAGTATTTATCAAATAGTAGGTTTACAAATCAGTACTAACAGTGAAAACTGACAATACGGATATGAGTATCGTAAGTATTTTAATATAATGCGTAGCTTTGTTAATTTCATCATCGTGTGTCTCCGTGATCAGGCTCTTCCAGGTGGTGGTGGTGGAAGTGTCGCCAAATAGTCGAGAGCTTTCTGAATTGCCGGAGGGATCGGAGGTGGAGTTGGCAAATGGTCACCCTAAAAATATAAAAAACAGTCGGACCAAAATTACATTACAAAGTAAATGATTAGTCAAGGACAGCCATTAGTTTTGGTGTTGATAATTTGCAAATATTTCCTTTGTACATCTTAGCAAATGTCATATTCATTTTGTAGCGTATGTGTTACACGTGCATTTGCATATGCATATATTTTCTGTGTAGAGTAGCAATAAAAAATAAACATCGTCCTTTGACTTGATAAACCATTTTCGCCATTTACAACCTATTGTTTAATAGTTCACTCATTCGTAAGGAAAGATTTTTTAATGTCATGAAAATATAATAGTCGTGCTTGCCAATTAAAATTGATGTGACCAGATTTTAGCAACATATTTTATTCTTTAATTTTGTATAGGTTCTGTTTCCGAAGCAACTTTGTGTAATTGGTAATTTGGAACCACTACCATGAAAAAACAACCTAAGAAGCAAAAATAATTAAATTGACTAAAACACATTTGTTACCTGAGGCTTGAAACCGTTCTCGTCATCAGCAATGTAATTAAGATTGATAACTGTGCCATCGGGAGCTGTATAGCTAAAGCCTCCTTGGGCTACAATTACGTCGCTGCTATCCGGACCAGTAGCCTTTTTCAAAGTTCCGGTTTCTTCTGCTTTAATACCATTCTCAGTTTCATAACTAGAAATTAAACAACACACAATATTTGTTACAATAAATAAAATATATGAAAAATTATAAAACACCAATATTTTTTCCCCTAATAAGCTTGTTACTACCCCAAATTCATTTTAATAAAATTTAAGTTGTACCATTAGCTACCCATTGCGGCTTAATGATTTAAAATTATAAATAATCTTGTAAAACTATCATTAAATGATTTGGGATCCCAATACCATAACTTTTCAAAGTAATTTCATCATTAACGCATTATACATGGTAGAGCCATGCTGCAGGTATGTAATGGTTGTAGCAGGAATGGGTTTGCTCGGCCAGGGTCAGCTCAGCGCTCTTACAGAATACCAACGTTACACAGTAACTAGCTGTTGCTGTGTTTCGTATTGTAAGTGTATAGAATCAGAGTCCCCTTTTACTGGAAACATGGCATTCCATCTTAGTCCTCAGGGGTGACAAAGCATCTACATCTTGATTCTTAATCGAGGATAAATGTAAATGTCTATGGGCCACAGTTACCATATGTGAGCTTGTTTGTCACCCTTATTCTATAAAAATAATGTATATTGAAATAGTGTACAAACCTCATATCAGAGAATAATAGTCCAAAAAGTAAAAGAATAGGAGATAGAGATAGATCTCTCTATGGAAAAAGAAAGAGAAACAGAGAGGGAGACAGTATAAGGCAAACTATTTAGAGGAGATGAAATTATTACCTGTAAACGTAAGACCCATCGGGCTGTTGATCAAAATCCTGTTTAAGAATAGCAATGACTTTGTCAGGCTGCTGAGGTGCTGCAGCAGCTAAAGCGATAACAGCAAAAAGGAATATCACCCTCTGTAAAAATAAAGTAATTGGTATAACAATGTATAAGGGGTATTTAACGCCAACACCAATTTCACGCAAAAAGGAGATTTATTGCCAGCACCAATTTCACGCAATGAACCCTGCTAACGAAGGGACATTCTTGCGACCGACAAATGGTTGGACAAATCTTAAATTAATCTTAATTTTTTTTTTTTATAGAAGAGGGGGCAACGAGTACGCGGCTCACCTGATGTTAATTGACTACCGCCACCCATGATCAACGGCAACACCAGGGGAATTGCAGGTGCACTGCTTTAAAAAGGAGTAAGCACTTTTCTTGAAGGTCCCTAGATCGTTTCGGTACATGAGTAACCAAAACTAACAAACGTTCAAAACATGAATAACTAACCGTAAATTATCAATACACGAATAACTAAAACTAACGAACGTTATTTTTGTTAATGGTAAATTTGGACGAATCGTAGACGATAAATAGATTTATTCAAGAATATTACACTCCAAAACCACACACGTGATCAGTTTCATCGATCAGTGCAGTTTCATCGGTGTAAAGATGAAGTATGCTTCCTGGTCTAGTGTGATGAGTATTTGCAATTTAATATTTGACAGTTTTTGCGTTCTTGAATAAACCTACTTCTAGCATTGAACTCAAAAAAAAGATAAGATAAGGAGAAAAGAAGTTTTTCATAACATTACATTAACGATACAGGCTATCTAATTCACTTATGAACGTAGGCCTCCCCCATAGATTTTCTCATAGGGGTGATATTTACCATAGTTACTATTCCGCAGTTTTTTTTTAATTTTTAGTCGTTTAATAACGAAAGGCGCTGCTGCTCATCTCCTGATTTGTTTTTCTCTGTCGCTTCTTACGACACCCACGGGATGATGGGGTAGTGGATATTTTTACATCGCAACTATAGGGCATGTTGTTATGTATAGTGGCGGTGTACTACGTTATAATATTCCGAACATAACGCCTGCTACAATTCCTATAGCAAACATGAACAAACATAAACCAAAGTATTTGCTATAACGCAGACATATATACGGTTATTAGATTATATCTGTAAATTATATTATATTGATACAGCAAGCACGTTGGCAGAGTCCGTTAAAGTTTTAATAAAATACTGTGAAAATGTTGAACATTTCTTTAAATCGTATCGTTGCGACGATACGTGGTTATAAAATAATGTTGAAGTATTGTTTTTAAATTATTATAAGAACTAAACATAGTGTATATTATTCGCAAAGCTATAATGGCTTAAGGATTAAGCTGACACCGTAAATTATTTTATATTAATTAAATACAGAGTACGCGAGCAACCTCATGGCCGTAAGTCGTACATTTTATAGTACGATCCCCGTAAGCACCTTTGGTGTCAATCAGCACTGATTTAAAACAATCAATACCAACATGCACGAGACCAGAGTGTCGAACTTATGGCTCCATAACACTCTCAGAAATAAGAAAAGTTTCTAGCGGTGGGACGTTTGTAGGATCTAACTTTTCCTTATTTTACTTTACTTAGACTTGTACAAAATATTACACTAACGGTGTATTAAAAATGCAGTTACTTTTATACAAGCAAGTTAAACAATAATGTATTTAAGAATATCAGCTTGTTATGGTACATTAACAGACTCCATATTCTTATATAATATGATTGGGTATTTATATAGAGATTGGTGCTATTTTTATCAAGGGCTATTCTGCTTTATAAACTTTAATGTTTTACGATTTTAAACTAAACAACAAACACCAAGTCTGTTGTTTATTTCAATTACTAATGAAAGAAAATAGACGAACTGCTTTCTTAACAATATTATTTGCAATTTATTGTAAAACGATTATTAATTAACATATTATTGTCTCAATATTCCATATTTATTAATTGTACATTTATAGAGATCATTGGATTTAATAATAAAACTATATTACTGTCATTATTGTTATTTTACTAGTCCGTGTTTATGATATTTTTTAATTTAATAATTAGGTATAAAGTTTTATAAAACTAAGTTATTTTTTAAATACGGGAGATAAACTATTTACTTATTACGTGGATGTACATAGGTATGACTTATCTTTATTATTGTAATAAATATATCAACACTCTCTAGATTAGCTGTAAATTTATACATTTTGAGTTCCTGGCCAGATAATAAAGGTTTAAACGTTAATTTGATCCTGAGAAAATTGTGTTCTTTCAGGTGATTGTTGGAACAGTTGGGTTAACAACGCAAGACAAGACGCACCTTTACAAATTATGAAGAAAGACAACTTTACGTATGGCTTGGTTAGTTTTAAAGTTACAGTCGGAATACCAGATCTTGGTGAGTGATCAATCTGTGATGAGGATACCGCACGAAGTCAATCTTTATGCTTTTACTATTTCGCCTCTTACGAGACCGACGGGACGACACGCGGGGGGGGGGGAATGGATATCCTTGACCGCCGCAATATGGTCCAACGATAGTCTTAGCAGCTCAGCGCTAAACTTCCTATGAATTTTATCCATATCAAGGAACAATTAGGAAAGGGGCGCGAACACGTCTTGAAGGGGAACTAACATTTATGGGTACACAGCTTTTAAATTTAAAAATATTTCGAAGTCATATGCAGTTTTCCGACATATATTGGGGCGGCGCGACGGACATTAACATGCTCTAAAATCCCTCTCAGAAATGAGAGGAGGCCTGTGCCCAGCAGCTGTAACTTTAAATTTTAATCCACAAATCAGTATTTTTGCATCACTTAAATAATATTTTACTGAATTTTCTGTTAAAGTATAAATCTATTCTTTACGCAGAGCATTATGATATAAGATTATTTCAAGAAACTCCTTAGTTTATTTGCATCACATGAAATATCACTAGATTATGTTTGGTGTTTATTTGGCTATATATTTTACACAGTATTTTATTTTGAAAGCTAGATGTAAAACGTCAAGAATTATTTTTTTGATAGGACTATCGTAAATCTATTTTTAGTGAGCGTCTTCTTTTTGAAATGGGTACCTATACTAAAATTTAAGTCTATCGGGTGTTTTTTATAGGATAGGGTGACAAACGAGCACACAGTCCACCTGATGGTAAATGGTTATGTGACCCATAGACATCCAAATCTAACCACGATTACGAACCAAAATGCAGATGCGTTGTCACCCGTGAAGTCTAGGATGAAATGCCTCGTTTCCTGTAAAATGGGTTTCCGATTCTCTACACTCATCATAAGAAACACAGCAGCATTAAGCTGTTATTTTACCTTCCTTCTTTTTTATTCGTTCTTCCCCGGTCGAGCCGATCCATTCGTGCTACAACTGTACAACTAATATAACTGCAGCATGGCTCTACCACGTATATTTTTAGTCAGTGTCAGGAGTTCACTGATGCTAATATGCTGATGATAAAAAAGCAAACAAAGAAATCCTGAAAAACCTTTCTTAAGTTATTATCTTAACATAAAGTAATATTGAAATTAAGAAATTTAAATAACCTTTGCAAAACCTACGTTTACAGATATTTGTGTAATTTACGTTATTTTGTAAGTGCATGCAGTTGTGAGAAAATGACACAGAATTTGAGAGTTGCCTCCAAAAGACAATGTCCTACGTGCAAAAACAAAAGGTGTGCGCTTAATTAAGCGCTCGCACGCCTCACCTAGTTAAAATACAGGTACGGACTCCGTTTGTACTCGCGAAATCGTTAAGTGTTTGTTATTATTATTTTTTGATTTATAAAATTTTAATGCAAAAGCTAGGCAGTAAAATATTTTTTTACATAAAATTTTAAACAATTTGTTCGATATTTTGTAATTTGAAAGTTTATTAAATATTTGAATGGTTTTTCTAAAAGTGAGATAACAATCGAATTTACAGTCTACCTGTTGTTTAACAACTATTGCTGTCCACGAACACCGGAAGTCAACTTAAAAAAAAGACTACATATGTGTAGTTACCTCTGAGGAGTGAAAACGAGTGACTCACAATAAATATCAACTCTTGATTAATTGAGAAGTATTAAACTCAATGAATTATTTCGTTTCGAAAACACCTAAAGGTTAGTTTCATAGCATAATATAATAAAGCGATAAAGGTTCGTATGTGCCATACGAGCTAGCAGCACACAATGACCTCAAACTATAAAGTATGCGCTAAAACGATGCGCCGCTTGTCACTAAAGCAAACAGCGAGGTTTCTGCAAAGGTTAAGTATTGTAGGCATTTAATGCACTAGAAGTTGCATAATGTTCCGCTAATCTGACCGGATGCCCTATGCACTGTCGCTATAACGCATCTTCACTGTGGAAGCAAGTTAGATCGTTTCGAAATCTATAAAGGAAAAGTCTGCATTATATGCGATATTAGTATTATTTTGTATTTACTATGCATTCAAATTTATTAAAACGATATTTTTTTAATAACTTAGTACACAAAAATAACTATAAGAGTCAAAGCAAATTAAGCCATGTTATGATTTTGTGATTATTGGTAAATAGACCATCAATATTCCAATATTGATGTCAAACATTGATGTCAAGAAAGCCACTTCTAAAAAATGTTTCAGTGTAGAGTATACAAATCTTCCTTCATCAAACATTTTTAAGTGACAACTTAATTTAGAAATCCAATGAATCCAATAAAAATATTTATAAAAAAACGTTTTTAATATTCAATTCGGTTTGATTCATTACCATGTGGTTAATGAATTAGTACTTTAATTTTTACTTTGAAATAAAGTACGATCGAGTTTCTTACTAGTAATTTTCGGGACCTGTGGTAAAGTTAAAATGTCTTTCCATAAAAATTAATTATAAATACGTTAAAGTTTGCGCGATGATGTGTAATTTTTGTAACTTCTTCATATGCTTGACTTTAATTATAAAATTAGATAAACAGAGATCAAGTTAAGAGCCTGGTGGCAAGTGCATCACTATCACTGCTGCTTGGTTGCAGCAATAGATGGTGGTGGCAGCTCAGACGGATTCTCATTCAGATAAGAAAGTTTTTCTTAAGTGGTAAAACTGCTTTTAGGAAGTTTTTCGGAAGTGAAAAAACCACGTTTTCTACCTAGAGCTTTTTAATTAGACTTGTTATAATTCTTGTAACTTCTTCATAACAGGTTTAAAAAAAAACAATTGAACAGCTTTATAGATACTTAGATACCAAACAGCAATAATAAACCAAAAATACGTTACAGTAAATATTTTCAGCGACACTTTTAAACCAAAAAAAATTATTAAAGGAAAAATCATCGAATTATAATATATAATATTAGGATAGAATTATAAAAAAATAAATTCAAAATTTTTGAGTTAGGCTGTAACAAGTTATTAACAGATACAAATGTTTTTTGCGTTTGCATAAAATTTATGTGAATGTACTTGCAAACAATAAAAACATGTTTAAATAAATATACAATATATTTATTATAAATATACACTCCAAAAACTCCAATTTACGAGTTGTTGAAGCCGTATAACTTTAAAACTCACCATCGTGTTGTATATGAAAACTGGCTTTAAAGTCACCTGATGTACTTAGGGTGCTCAAGAGATGTAATGATATCCCATGAGGCGTCTGTTGGCGACGTGTGCGCTGGATTGTACTTAGCCATCTAATCACCTGTCCCTTTTATAGAGACGCAGTTTTGTTTAGCTATTGCAAACTGCAGGGGGAGTCTGCAATACCAGCAAAACTCAGGACCGTACTTAGAAATATTTCCTTGTAAATTTTTATTGTATTAAAACCCATTTCTTTAAATATTTTTATTAAATATTTCAACATTTCAGCAACAACTATTAAAATTTGCAATACGTTTTAGCTGACCACCGCGGGAGTATAAATTCATAGTGTTAAAGAGTTCTCGCAGAATCGAGTGATTTGTAGTTTAAATTAGAATCCTTTGAAATAATTTTCTGATTTTTATTTACCATGTACGTTATAGTTTTTATTTTGATTCAAAGCTGTAGTAATTTAACGTAAAATTAAATTTTAGGTTTCGAAAATGGTTTCAAATTGGTCTAGCGTTATTATTATTAAATACATTAACAAATTACAATATAACATAATCTAATGAGATACAGTTGACCACAGTAATGTTTCTTGATGAATACTATCTTAGTTATATTTGCTGCAACTCAGAAGTGCACTTACTATTTACGTTGAATTCCATGGGTAAAACATCCGTCATAAATAAAGAGTTTAGGATACATTATATTAATGGTGAACACTATCTGTAAACTTGTTTGTTGAAGTGCAGGAAAAATCAGACTAAGCGTATGTATAGATAAATCGTAAACAATAAAATTATTTATATCAGTAAATACGTATCTGATTCCTAGAGTACCTTGAACTACTAGCTACTATTACATACTTGAATAGAATCTTCAGCAACATAAGTGGTTTTAATTTGCCTTGATTTTCCATACAAATTTTCTTACTCGCTTGACATTTCCTCTTCATTTAAAAGTTTGATGAAATAACTTAGAAACTATACTATGTTAATTTTTATCATTACTATATGTTAGTTTATGCCATGAAATCATGCATCTCTGGATTAGTATTCTAAAATTATTGCAATAATGAATTACTCCACCTAAAATAATATTTGTAAAGAAAATTCTTTTAAAAATAACAAATCGTTTAAAGAATCTCATCTTACTCTTTTTTAAATAATTTATATTTTAAATCCTAATAGAAACAATTAAAGTAAATTTATTTAAGATAATTACAATTTTTACGTGGTAGAGTCATGCTGAATCTATATTATATTTTACGTGGTAGAGCCACGCTGCCTCTATAATATTATAGTTTACTTGGTAGAGCCACGCTGTAGGTATATCATACGAGTAGTTGTAGCACGAATGAGTCGGCTCAACCGGGGCAGGACCGCGCTCTCACAAAATACCAGCGTAAAATAGCAGCGTAATGCTGCTGTGTTTCGTATGGTGAGTGTAAAGAACCGGAGACACTTTTTATTGGAATCTAATTCCATCTTAGTCCTCAAAGGTGAAAGCGCATTTGCATTTTGATACTTAATTGAGAATAAATGTGGATTTCTATAGGCCACAGCGTCCACTTACCACCAGGTGGACCGTGTGCTCGTTTGTCACATAATGCTACAAAAAACATAATTAACAAATTAATGATTTTTACATTTAAATAAATATACAAACAATACACTATTATTTATTAATTGAAATATTTATATGCAATAATATGCCTAACGGATGTAAATTTTAGATTATAACGGATATAAGAAAATCCAATACCCCATAATATAATTATCCCATGGGTGTCGTCTTAAGGGGTGATAGAGGGAAACTGAAATAGGTGCTGGGCCAGAATCATCCCAATAACAGCTGAAAATAATAAAAACAGTGGTTGTCAATCCGACTGCTAAGCGTGTTAATATTTGTAATTTGTAGTATAATATTTGTAAAGAAAATTCTTTTAAAAATAACAAATCGTTTAAAGAATCTCATCTTACTCTTTTTTAAATAACTTATATTTTAAATCCTAATATAAACAATTAAAGTAAATTTATTTAAGATAATAACAATTTTTACGTGGTAGGGTCATGCTGAATCTATATTATATTTTACGTGGTAGAGCCACGCTGCGTCTATAATATTATAGTTTACTTGGTAGAGCCACGCTGTAGGTATATCATACGAGTAGTTGTAGCACGATAAGTCGGCTCAACCGGGGCAGGACCGCGCTCTCACAAAATACCAGCATAAAATAGCAGCGTAATTCTGATGTGTTTCGTATGGTGAGTGTAAAGAACCGGAGACACTTTTTATTGGAATCGAATTCCATCTTAGTCCTCAGAGGTGAAAACGCATTTGCGTTTTGATACTTAATTGAGAATAAATGTGGATTTCTATAGGCCACAGCGTCCACTTACCACCAGGTGGACTGTGTGCTCGTTTGTCAAATAATGCTACAAAAAACATAATTAACAAATTAATGATTTTTACATTTAAATAAATATACAAGCAATACACTATTATTTATGAAATGAAATATTTATATGCAATAACATGCCTAACGGATGTAAATTTTTTATTATAACGGATATAAGAAAATCCAATACACCATAATATAATTATCCCATGGGTCTCGTCTTAAGGGGTGATAGAGGGAAACTGAAATAGGTGCTGGGCAACAGAATCATCCCAATAACAGCTGAAAATAATAAAAACAGTGGTTGTCAATCCAACTGCTAAGCGTATTAAGTACAGAAAATAAAAGTAAATCTATAGAGACGGCCCCCATGAGGGCATCGTCCATGTACCGTCATATATACGAGTGGACATTTAATAGGCTTTATTGAATAAATTAATAAATAAAATAATCTTTTGGCGTTACTTATATATTTTAATTTAAACATGTTTTTTGTAATATCCTTTGATAATATATATTTATTAGATTTATATATGTATGTATTTATTAGATGTATGTATGTATGTATGTTGTATGCCTAAACCTTAGGTCATTCATGCAATTAAGAAACGCGTAAGTGCCTCATAAACTTAACGTAAATGCCTACAACCTCACAATACTTAACTTTAAGTCAGAGGATATTAAGTTAAACACTGACACAGTTAACTATAAATAAAAGAAAAAAGAAATAAAGAAAAAAAGTTTATTTAGTAACACATTATAATAATTTACTTACTTATTATAAATTTGGTAAATGGTTGCTAAAAGGTACCCAACTCAGTATAGTCTTGGTAATAACAAAGGTAGGTAAAAGGTATTTGACGCTAATCTTACGTGGGCGCCATAAAGAAAAATATTAATTAATAAAAACTAAACGTAACTGTATTAATTATTACACGATTTCAAGTAAAACGCACACGTACGCACTATCAAATACATATTTATTATTAATAAATATAATAATAATCATCATCATCATTACAGCCCTTCACAAGTCCACTGCTATATATGCTTCCTCTTAGGAATGCCATAAAGCATGGTCCTGCATGTCTTACCAGGTTGTCAATCCAACTAGTGAGAGTTACCCTACACTTCACCTACCGGTACAAGGCTGCCACTCACACACATCAGGTTCACACACACATTACACATCGGTTGTCGGTTCGTCGAGCCGGTTCGAAATAAATTTAATAAAAGTAGCAATTACTTAAATATAATTAAAAATAAATGAATAAACGGAATAGAAAAGTATGTAAGACACAGTACATAATTTACAATAATATGACTTTTGAATATTTAGTAAGTATTTCTTATAATTTTTAAACGAACCAATTGAAGCCGGATTTATAATCGGAGGTATAGGTTAGATTAGGGAGGTATATGTTGTTTCAACATTTCGTGGCAGAATAAGCTACCACGAAATGCAGCCGTATTGTGTCTTGGACATAATAAACAAGTTGCACTTCTACCTTGTCGCTGTGAAAAGTGTAATTTATTATGAAGTTGATGTGGTGTGTGTGTCATTATTATACCAAACAATAAACTGGCAAAATAAGGGAAAATCAAAGTCAATACTCTCAAGTCACTCAACATGAAAATCATCTCTGAAATCATCAAGGGCAAAGGAAGCCATCTTTCATTTGCATGAAAGGAGATAGTAACCAGAACTTAAATAGGTTACTACGTAGTGAGTCATGATTTTTATGAATTTCTGCAGGCCCAACATTTATAATAAATTAACCAACAGTAGTTTCGGCCGTGAAGGGAAAAAGCAAGACCCCGGCGGGCAAGGTGTTCTGCACATGAAACGGTCAATGCTCCGTGTTTTGGTGGTAGTTTAAACCTTGTTTTATATCTATAGTTCTTTGGGAAGCGTGGCTTCCGTTGTACTCGATATATTTACGCCAGCATGACGCGATGACAGCACCAAAAGCACAAGAATGCTTGGTTGCTTGAATTGTATTAGTATTGCTGTATTGTTGTTCGTGATTGTGCCCGTGGATTATGCACTAAATTCAAACTCAGGTGTTAAGCAAAAAAACACAGGAAACGTATACGCATAATACCACTGTACTCGCGGATACGCTTACGGCGTTATAAAATATATATCTTATGCACTTTATAGTTTTCGTAGTATTCAGTTATTTTGCCGTTGTTGAAGTCGGTCACAAGAAAAACTGCTGAAATGCCTATTCTTACATTCTAATTTCTTTTGTCTTCGCCTTTTGAATGTGAAATAACTATAATTATTTTGTTTTTCTTTGTACAAATTATAAAATAAACGTTTGTCTCATATAATTACGTTTCTGTAACAATAAGTAACAATTCAACTTATTTCATAAAAAATAAATTTAAAAAATACAAATATATTAACGACACGTTCTCGACAATAATTTGAACATAAGAATTTGGTCATAATAAGTCGACGGTCACCTGGAGCGGCTCTAAATGCACATCTATGCTTGCACCCTTGATCTTTACTTAGACAAGGAGGCAAGGGCTAGTTCTTATAGGATTAACGCCCAAGGCGGACAGAGCTTGCTTTTCTACAGATTGAGATCCCTGCTTGGTTCAATGAAGGAAACCCCGACTTTATGCGTGATCTCTGATATCATACATTCACTATGCACTTAACTTAATAAAAAAAAGTATATAGTAAAAATACCACTCCAGAAAGGGCTGGCTGAATGTGCAGGCTATCTGTGAGGTCGGTAGCCTTATATGGAATACCGATAGGTCAAAAATGGGCCTCGCGGTAGGCGTTGGCATTTATGAGGAACGCTCGAAATTTTTGCTTAGTATGAATTTGGGGAAATCACCTCTGTCTTCGAGGCAGATATTTTTGCTATACTTCGTTGTGCGGAAATCAACCTGCAAAAACACAACGTTAACCATATTATCTCGATAAACTCTTGGTGAATATATTATATATATATATATATATATATATATATATATATATATATATATATACTCTAACTCTTTATCACAGTAAATCACTTAAGATCTGGTCTTATATACCTGGCCTAAAACATTCTACAACATCTACAACATAACGGGTTTATGATCGTAAAATTATTTCAGAAGCCCTGGAATGAAGTAAGAAAAAACTGCGTATTTACGTCAGTGATGAGGTTAGAATGGCTTTCCAGCACCTTTGAAAGTGAGTGGTAAACGGATACTTGAATTCGTTCAGAACCTCTTTACTGCCTTACACCGTGGTGGCACAACTCCGCAGGCGTGAAACTGAAGTGCGATGGTCTTACTGGAGATACAGACAGATATCTCTTCAGAGTCGTTACTATGTAATATTTTCGAAGGAAATTAAATTCAATAACTCGTCTTAAATCATGTGGCCTTAATTACCTTCCAAACAAGCTGGCTTTTACTTATAGAATAAGGGTGAATAGTTAGTAAAGCTACAGATTTCACACCGAGACGTCAACATATGGATCTGGATGTATCTGGGTATTTCTCATTTTAAGTAAAAATATTTGTGACTGAGATTTATTTCTATGATAACATAACGCACATGGATTTGATATATTTATCAAGGTTATGTTACCTAGTCTGGTGAAGTCTACACGAAAACATACTCATTTTATTCTATATATTATTTGAAATATAAAAAAATAAGCATGAATATGTCTTTTCCGTGGATGTGATTGAAGCAAATTTACAGATATAATATATTAATGTAGGATATTATCGTAAGCTCTAATAGATACTGACCCATACATGCGAATAACTTTATAACTAAATGATAAAAAAAAGAACGAAAAACCTAATTTCAAAATGTGACTGATTTTTTTTTTCACTTCCATGGATGTAGGTCACAGTAAGTTTTCACTTATAATAAAACGTGCGTGTATCCGAATTTATCTGAGCATAGACAAGGCGACACCTGTCATAATCATAATTAGTTGTCAATTTCCTACCGGCTGCATTACGTTTAGCGTGAAAAAGCAATTAAATTACTGATTTAAAACTCGTCAAGCATACTAGTCACTACTGTGGTTGTTTTGACAAGTAAGTATATTTGTCTAATTTACATTTTGTATTGCTGTTTTTGTAGGTTTGATGGTCCATAAACGATGGCCAAAATAGGTTGTGAAAACAAGATTTTTGAGGTTAGTTTTCCGCATTTTAATTAAAATATTTCCTTTCCATGGATGTCACTTCCATTGATTACGTGGATATTTTTTTTCAATGGAAATGACCTCAGATCCAGGGATGTGAACTTTAACTTGAAATTATTACGGGACTTATTTCTTTAGCTTCTTTCTTTGTTTATTACAGACATATACATCCACAAAATGCTTTTTAATACACGTTTAATTATATTTTTTTATATGGCGAGAAATAAAAGACCAAAGACAGCAGAAGAAATACGTAAACAAAAGAGAGAATGCGAACGAAGACGAAGAGCTCGTATTAAAGCTGACCCAGACTTGTATGAAGCTAGTAAAAAAATAGATAACCAGCGTTATGCAGAAAAACGACGCAAAAAACAGGTAAAACTAGTGTCCGAAATGACTCCGAGAGAACGGCGTGCTAAGCAACGTGAATGGCGAGAACGTAAAGCTAGGAGTAGACAGAATAAAAAACGCGACTACTACAAAATTTGCGAGAGAATACTCCGGATTCCATTGCTGATGACCAAAACGTGGCGAGCCCTTATTTTCAACAAAATGCGTCTTCCCTTTCTCAACCTTTGTCTCCTGCTTCTTCAATTTCCAGAAGGTCGTTTGTTAGTCCTGGATCGTCGTTCTCCAGAGAAGAATGTCACACACCTTCTCATAGCTCTAATATAAGTAGGCAAAAAGTAGCTGGTCTTCGATATGTCCGAAAACGACGTGAGGAGTCCAATCTCAAAATAAAAAGGCAGGCAACTGCAATCAAATCAATGGAAAAAAAATTCACGCATTACGGGTACAATTATTGAGGGCCAACCATAAAATTCAGGATCTTTCTAGTGCACCGAAGAAACTTGCTACTAAAGAGATTGTTACAAAAAAACTTAAACGGTTGCATTCAAAAATTATTGCCTTCTTAGAACGTGATGACAACAGTAAGCAGTGTCCGGGAAAAAAAGATGTCATCACCAAGAACAAAATGAAAAAACAAAAACGTTACTTGTGTGATACACTCACTAATCTCCATGCCAAATTTCAAATCGAAAACAAGGCGAAACTTAGTCTTGCAACGTTTTGCCGGATGCGTCCTTTTTGGATCGTTTCTCGTCAAGTTTCTGAAAGGGATACATGTTTGTGTGTTACACATGAAAATATGCAACTCAAGTTCGATCATTTGAAAAACTTGAGAATTTTTAACTCTACAAACTTAACAGACTTGTGCAAAAGCATGGTTTGTGATATCAATAAGGAGGCTTGCATGTTACGTAAGTGTCATGTTTGCCTGAATAAATCACCTGAAGTACAATCTTTTGATGGTTCGGAAACCACTACATACAAAACGTGGTGTGTCATAAAAGAAAAGCGATTGATTAAAGGAAAAGAAAAGGAAATTAGACGAACAGTAAAAGGGCAGAAAACAGTTACAAGAAAAGAGCTAGTAGAATCGTTCTTAAAAGATTTAAAAATATTTCTAGAGCATCAATTTAATATTTCTCATCAATACAAACAAACCACTTTAATGAAGAACAACCTTGTTGATGGAGAAATCTTTATGCAGATAGATTTTTCCGAAAATTATTGCTGTAAATATGCGACTGAGATTCAGTCAGTCCATTTCGGTGCTTCTAGACAGCAAGTCAGTCTTCATACTGGTGTTTATTACTATAGATGTCCAGATACGCAAAAAGTTAATAGTTGTTCATTTTGCACATTTTCTGAGAATTTACGCCACGATGCAAGTGCAATATGTGCTCATCTTCAAGAGATACTAGATCTAATTGTATCGTCACATACAATTCAGAAATTGCATATTTTAAGCGACGGTCCTAGTGCACAGTACAGAAACAGATACATGTTCTATCTGTATACTCAATACTTGGCAAAGAGATACAGTTTAAAAACTGTGACGTGGAACTTCTGCGAAGCGGGCCATGGCAAAGGGCCCATGGATGGAGTGGGTGCTGTAATCAAGCGTACCGCAGATCGTATTGTTGCTCAAGGGTCAGATATACCTGATTTCAATACACTTATGAGGTGTATTAGAGAAAACACTACCAATGTCATAATTTCAACCGTAACTACGAAACAAATTGAAGAACTTAATAAGCTATTGCAACGAAAAATCAACAGTGTTCCTGGAATTACAAAAGTTCATCAAATGACATGGGACTCGCACATGGCGCAAAAAATATTTTTACGAAAATTAACATGCCTAACATGCGCCTCCGGAGAACGGTGTCTACACTACTCGTTGCCCGACAGTTATGTGGAATTTTCTAACCCATTGCAAATTTTTGAAAGTCTTGAACTGGAATCGGAAACTGAAACGCCGCCGGTTGAAGTAAACGAGGAAAACTTAGATCGGCGGGAAGAAACAGATGAGAGAGATAGCGAAGAACAGGAGGAGGAAGAACTGGCTAGTGAGACTGAAGAAGAGGAGGATAATGAACTGGACAGTGAGAGTGAAGAACTGGAGGATAGGGGACAGAATAGTGAGGCTGAAGAACAGGAGGATATGGAACCGAATAGTAAGGCGGAAGGACACGAGGATGAGGTACTTGACAGTGAGAGTGAAGAACAGGAGAAGGAGGAACTTGATAGTGAGACTGAAGAACAGAAGTATAATGAACTGGATAGCGAGACTGAAAACTGCAGGATAGGGAACGCGGTAGTGAGACCGAAGAACAGGAGGATTTGGAACCGAATAGTAAGGCGGAAGAACACGAGGATGAGGTACTTGACAGTGAGAGTGAAGACTTCAATATTTTCTGATTATCATTTTATTTAAACTTTATTTTTATTATAATGTTAAGCTATTACTGGGGCTGAAATTAGATGGTGCCATAAGTGTAATGTTTTTGATCTCTTTAGCAATTACGATTAAAAAATATACAGGGTTATATGTAATTTAGTTTGGACTGGATCAGTACATAAAACTTTTACTATGGAACTAAGTGTGAATTCCATAGATAATGTTTCTATCTACTCGACCCAAATGTATAGAGCAGCAGATCTTTTTACGCGATTTCGGACTTGATCTCACAATCAAAGTTGTTCGTATAGACGGGTAGTATCATCCCCAACTGTCCACACTAAACTAAAAATACCCCTGTATAATTAGCTTTAAAGTCAAATTCAAAGCAATTAAAGCTGATTTTTCGAACTTTTGCTTGTTTTGATTAAAATAAATCCAATATATTTATCATTGTGTATCATAATTTCTTTGGATAATATAATTTGTGACTTCATCTTTTATAAAGCATATATGGAATGTCATGTCTATGGTGTGAAGTCTTTTCCATGGTAAAAGTAATTGTATGAAAGTCATTTCCCTGGATCCAGTGTCATTACCATGGAAGTGCGAGATTTTAAAAGGTATTTCTAGTGAAACTAAAAATTCGTAAGCTCGGTGCATATTTTTTTATAGTAGATTATGACCTAAATTATTGATATTTATAGGTATTTCATGTAAAATTCATCTAAATGATTTTTTTTGTTTTCGTCATCAGAAGTTAAAAATACCCATCTGATGTTTGCTTTCATATTCATTCGCACCACTTATAAGCGTGAGAAATAACTTCTACGAACTCGCAGTAGCTCCGAAACTATAGCAGCATCGCACCTCCATCTAACAGGCTTTCTATTATCAAAAATTAGTATCCTGTCAGTTCTGTTGCCTGTTAATTATACGCGGCCTCTGAATAAACGAACAATAAACCGCCCATAAATATAAAACGAGCGGTTGTGTTCCTTAAGTATCTATCTCATTAATATACAACTATAAAGACACTTATATTAATATTGTGTTCAATAATTTTTACTATAAATTATTTTCCGCTGGGTTTAATAGGTTTTACAAGTAACTAAATACTTGTGTTTTGTTGTAATTTATATAAGTATTTGCAAAAACAAAATCGCCCTGGAGCTCATATTTCAATGAATACATAGTACCTTTTATGCATCTTACCTGACCATTTCCATTAGTTTTGTTCGTAAGTTTTACTTTAGCGAACGAAATTGGCTCTTTCATCTTACTTCCTTGTCATTCGTGCTATAAATATAATATAGTTGAAGCGTGGCTCTAACATGTATAACTCTAGCTTTACTTGGTTGGCTACACTTAAAAAAAACAGCAAAACGTTGGTGTTTTTTGTATGGTGAGTATAACTGGACGGTGGCAACGGTCCACTTAACTTTTTCTTTTTTATGTCAAAAATGATAAGTACCTGTTTAGGAACCATAGATTAATAAAATCCTTCCTTGCTTTGTAATAGGTTTATATATTACGCGCATTTTGTAAAATAAAAAATGAAGATGTCCCCTTGATCAATTTTGGATCTTGGAAATAATTTCGAATTAATGGAGGCTATCAAACGCATAAGAGTTTTTATAGTGCTATAAGCCTACGGAAAATCACACTCAGTCTCAAACACTCTCACTCACAGTCACTCACTCTTCCCAGCCTATTAATACTCAATACACCGCTTACGCTAAAAGTTACATAATACCACTGTATCTGTCACTACAGATACATATACTAGAATACAGTGACAGAAATATGGAGAAAAACTCGAAGCAACCAGATTTGAAGACAAATTTGCACAAATGGTGACTCTTCTATTATTTGTTCGTTACAGCCTATTGAAGTCTACTGCTGAACGTAGGCCTCTCCCACAAATCTCCACATAGGCCTCACAGGGAAGATATTTGCCATAGATGCCACTCATGACAAGCGAGACTTATTCGAAAGTTTTAAGCTTAAAAAAAAGAATAAAGGATAACAAACGAGCACATAGTCTACCTGATGTTAAGTGGATGCTGTGGCCCATGGACATCTACATTTATCCTCAATTAAGATTCAAAATGCAGGTGCGTTGTCACCCCTGAGGACTAAAACGGAATACCTCGTGACCAGTAAAAAAGGGTCTCTGGATCTCTACACTCACCATACAAAACACAGCGGTATTGAGCTGGTATTCTGTGAGTGCGTGGTCCTTTCCCGGTCGAGCCGACCCATTCGTGGTACAACTATAATATAGCTGCAACGTGGCTCTACTACGTATAACTGGTATGGTTTCCGAAAATTAAAATCCTTAAAATCCTTAGTACTATAACCGCATACACATTCTCCTTTAAATTTTACAGAAAAAAGAAGAGTACAATCTGTCACTTGGTACTGCGTATGTGAACTATGAGAAAGTTTTTGGTTCCGTTGAAATATGGACGGAGCTACAATCTTATCAGCGGTGTCAAGTTAACTGTCAATATATTATAGTGCTAAAACATTATCATAGTAGGGCTACGACGGCTATCCGAGTACAGAACTAGATAACGAAACCTATCCAACTGCAGAGACGTGTACAGGGTGACGTTATATCTCCTACTCGTATTGGAAGACGTTTTCAAACCATTGAACTGAAAATGATATATTTACCGTTATAACGTATATTATAATAATAAGTGATTTCCTCCTGAGGTAAGTTATATTAATGTCATAATTTAAGTACGTCTATTAAACAGAATTTTCAACTTTAAACCTCATATTTTGCAAATATTATTAATTTCTCTTTTGCATTTCTAATCTATTCTAACGTCAGTTTATACTAAATCTATGGTCACACATATGCCGATAGTTCTTGGGATCATTACGCTCAAAGTTAGTGGACGGATATGATTAACGTCATACTTACCTGTATGTAAAGCAAGTCCACGAATGTACATAAGCCACCCTCATAAATTGCTTCATAGGGGTATATTTGCCATAAATTCCACGCTTGACAAGCAGGTAGGGCACCTCATTTTTTCATGGTGTAGTGACCTGCCCAGGTATTGCCTGGGTAGGATCTATTTTAACATCAAAGACCTTTTTTTAAGACAACTTCAAATGTTTTTGTCATAATAACTTGTAAATGATCCACTCAGCTTAGTATAAGACAGTTATTTCAATGTTACAGACAGACACTGTAACTTAATATATATGTCTTTATCTTAATATATATATATATATATATATATATATATATATACTATATAAATATATATATATATATATATATATATATATATATATATATATATATATATATATATAAATTACGTGTCACGTTGTTTGTCCGCGATGGACTCCTAAACTACTTAACCGATTTTGATCAAATTTGCACACCGTGTGCAGTTTGGTCCAACTTGAGAGATAGGATAATTTTTTTGCCCATGAGTGAACCACAATTTTTTTCCTGGCAAGCTATACATATACACTTACGTTAAATAGTTAAGATTAGGAAATTCTTACGTAGAGCTACGATGCAGCTATATTATGGCTGTGGCACGAATGGGTCGGCTCGACCGGGAAAAAAGCGGAGAAGTTTGGTATAGTGAGCGTGGAGAACCGGGGAACCAGGGGGAGATAGAAGACCCTTTAAGCTGCCAACAAGACACTCCATCATCGTCCTCAGGAGTGACTTCGCATCTAGATTTTGATTCTCAATCAACGTTAACGTATTGCTGATAAGAACTTAAAATAATAATAAAACTGCGGTTGCCAAACCGAATGCCAAGCGTGGAAACTATGACGATATCCCCCCATGCGGCAATTTATGTGGGAGGCCCATGTGCAGCAGTGTACTTTTATAGGCTGTAAAGGATGGATGATGTGGTAGATGTAGATGCCTATTCGCTACAGCAGCAACCGCCAGGTGTATTGTGTACTCGTTTGCCACACTGATTATATAAAAAAGACTCTGCTGCCCATTTCCTGGTTGTTTCCTCCTTCACCTCTTACAACACACAGGAGACGGTATGGAGTAGTGGATATTCTTACACCATCACTACACATTTATAAGCGTTTCGAACGCTGGGTCAATTGACAGCTCAGGTCAGAAAAGAATAGGGTGTAACAGGTGAACGTAATAGAAGCTTATGGCACTAATATTTTACAATTTTTTTATTTTACATTATGAAATAAATTATCAATAAAGACTATTAGTTGGGTACCTAGTATTTTAACATCGATAGTTTTTTATTGACTAATCATCAAATCGATCATGGGAAATCGTTATCATGAATGCAGCGTCGCGCTTGGGATGTGCTGAGAGGAACCAACTTGTTTTGGCCGGCTTGGTTAACTGGCTTCCCCCGAATTATGCTGATCACACTCCACACACACACATTGATTTATTTACTTAGTTTAAAAATTTTGTTGTTATTTTTTAGTATCGAAAGTTTATTTCAATTTAGTAGTATTTATTGACAGATCAATTGGATGAGATGTTAACCTAAAATAAAAAAAATATAAAATATCAGTGCCATGGGCTTCTATTCTGTTCACCTGTTACGATACCTGTTACGACGGTAAAAAATCACATAAAATGAAATTAAGAGTCTCCCAACCATTGCGTGTTGCCGTTAATGACATATGGATCTGAGACGTGATTCTTTACTGTGCTGGACGTATGAGGTAGCTCAAGATCGCTTAGCGAGACGGAATGGGCTATGCGAGTACTCTTTTATCAGCACGATAGACTTTGTAATGGTCCTTAATTAATTACTTAATCGCACCAATACACCTGATCATTATATGTGACAAGGTCAAATTTGAACCCGGTTTAACAGCCTACATGTTGTGTATATGAATGGTAAAATTTAGATGTAAACGTGTACTATATAATTTAAGAATTATTCGCAGCTCTTGATTTACCACGGTCTTAGTTTGTATTTTCTTAATTCTTTTTCATATCGATACCTTAATTGGCAAACCAGCTAACTCCATACGAGCAAGTTTTTCAGGAGACA